TATATGTATATATATATATAATGAAAATTTTTATATGTTTAATTTTCTTAATTGATGTAGCTGTCCCTGTTCCTGGAGTTAATATTGAAGAACACCTTCAGTTACGGCAAGAAGAAAAGCGGCAGCGGGTAAATAGGAGACACAGACTGGAAGAGGGAAGAGGTAAGTGATCTTACTGGTGAGAGGCTTGAGTTAATTTAAGCCAGCCAGTCTAGTTTCTAGAAATGGAAATTAATTAGTTTTGCTCAAGTAGACCAGTACAGTTTACATTAAAAAAAAAAAAAATCTGAACATAGAAAACTAGCTTATGTTGTTTATCCGGCTTTTAAAATTGTGAAAAACCTGTAGGTTTGTCAGTTTTCTCAGAGTTTTAGTGATGAAGATTAGCACTGAGTATTTGGTCAGTTTTCTTTTTGTTGTTTCCTAATTTAATCTTGTTTTTCAAAGTAGATGCTAATTCTGCCTTACGTAAAGAGTTGGAATGACTATATGCCTACTTAATGCTATTCTTGATGAATGAGTTATGTTGCTGCTATAAAGTTAGTTTTTAGTATAATAATAATAAAAAGTTTTTGTATTTTATAAAAGGATTTTCTCCCTATTAGAATAGCATGAAAGAAGCCTGTTACCAACCAAACTATTTTAGAAAACACACTATCATTTTACAACTTTCTTGTCATATGTATTGCCTGCTTCAGAAGTTGCTGCTGGTTTTCACACAAATGCTTTGACAGGTTTTCAAAATGACTTCTCTTTTTAAAATGCTTCAGGGTGTTATTGTGGTAAATAAATGAGAAATTATCACTGATTGGAGTCCTGTTTTAGTGAAGTGTGCTGATGTAGTTGGTAAGATCCTCTGTGGAGAAGAGGAACAATGTTGTTCAAGCTTTATGGGCTTCTCCTGTGGGAGTAAATATTGTTTTGATTGTCCTTTTAAGAATCAGATACGTTTTTTTTCGGATGTAAAATGTTCTCTGTGATCAAATTTAGCTCCTAGACTGCCAGCCAGTCTGCTGTGTTGGGACCCCTTTTGGATCTGACTTGCATGGAAGTCTTTCCATAAATAAGGAAGGATGCAAAGGCAAAGCTTAACTTCCTATGCATGTGGAAAAGGACGTAATATTTATTTTTCTTTAAATCGCTGGAGGTTGCTTTTAGCCCAAGTGTGGTGTTCGGTCTATGTGATATTGATGCTGCATACTGCTGGCAGGAGTTAGGTCCAGCTAGCAGTACTGAAGTGTCCCACATCAGTGTGTCTAAGCTTTCTTCTTCAATGCTCATTACTGAAGTAAAATTTTAATTATCTGTTGTAGGGGGGAAAAAAACCGGCAGAGGAGCATTTTGGCTTGCTTCCATTTCTAAGGTGTTATAAGGCTTTTTTTTTTTTTTTTTTTTGTAATCTGCATCCTAACTGTGACTGGAACAAGAGCTAGGCTATAATTCTCTGAAAGAAAATGTTTTGGATATAACCACACATTGATCAATATTAGGAATGTGTTTGTTACTATCTATTTAGCAGGTGTATGGGAACCGTAGCTGAAGTGATGCTGTTGGGTAGCTTGTTGCCACATATTCATATCCTGTGTCAAAAAACACTGGAATTCCCCACCTTTGTCAGTATTGGAGGTGCAGTGGATGCAGGGCAGAGATTAATGTCATGTTTTAGTTCGGAATGACTGATGTGGTAAAGCTCGGAATAGTGTTTTGCAAATGCTTTGAGGAGTCTTGGTTTAGATAATTAGATATTATTAGGTGAAAATGTTAGGAGTTGCTTGCTGCTACTCCATCCAAAGATGATCCATGAATCTGTGGAAAGAACTGCATGATTCTTGACCTCCTATGTTACTGTTCCTGGTTCATGAGAAAGACCTGGAACACTAATTAAAATATCCATTAGATTTTCACTTGTGTGAGGGGCTTTGCAACCTGAAACTAGCTTTTGAAAGAATAGGCTGTTGTCCCAAGAATTTTAAAAATTTGTGTATGTGCAAAACCTTGCTTGTTTAAAATGAATTCAGACAAAAAGTTGGAAGAGGTTTTGACCTTTTGCTTCTGGAAAAGCTTTGGTAAAGCAAAGGCCAAATTATCCCTTTGAAGGGCTGCCATTGAAGTGACAATGATTAATTTGATAGGTTTGAAATCTGTGTGCTGTAATGGGTTAATGTTCCAGGGTGCTTTTGTTCTAGCGTGCCAGATCAGCAAGAAACAAAGCACGGGTTGCATTCGATTTAGTCAGCAATAGAATCCTGCTCTGAATGTTGCTGATAACCTGCCGAAAAGCAGTGACTGGAGTAACGGGGAGGTGCCTTGCAAAGAAAAGAGCTATGAAAGCTGTGTGAGTCAGGGCAGGGGGAAAAAAAAAATCCATATTCTGGATTGGAAAGTTGTAGGGATAGTTAAAATTAGTATCAATGTATCAATGACATAATTAAATATTACTTCATTTTCTGACAAGAGCAATTTATTTAAGAGTAACTACCTCATTTTTCACCAGGACCACACCAAGTAGTTAGTTTATGGTGAAAAACTTTTTATTGTGGATTTCATTTTTAGGTAGATTAGATTATATTTGCTGTGAAAGAATTATAAATGGTAGGTAATTTTCGTTTAGAATCAGTTGTGTTAGAGGATCTGTGCCAATAATTTTGGTTTGATATTCTGTGCTCTTGTCAGTGCAACAAGTAAGTGCAGTGTGTTTGGATAACCAATTTTGCTTCTTTTCTGTAGCAGTGGTACAGGAGCAGGGAAGGGAACGCACAGATTTAATACTACTTCTTTTAATCTTGCATAAGAACTATACAAGAAACATAGCCATCTGTATTCATCACAGCTGCTGGGTTACAGCTGCTAAACTATTTTATGGATACATTGGAGTACCTTGTAATAATTATTTGTGGATGTCTCCCAACTTCCCGTTTCCCTTCGGAAATTAAGAGAGAGAGAAAGGGCACTCCTGCAGTTCTGCACCATCCAAAGAGATTTGTTCCAAACATGGCTAGGGAGTGTAGGGCTTTGCTTTATGACCAAACACCAATTTTTGTAGCCCTAGTATGCGAAATTATGCCTTAGGGGACTGTAGAATTGCTGGGTCAACAGATAAAGGTGTTAGCATAGTATGCACAGAAGATTACATTTGTAAATATGCTAGTACATTTTTTAAAGCCTGCATAAGACAGAAGTAGCTGTTTAACAAAAAAAAAAAAAAGAAAATAATTCTATTAAGCAGAATTATTATAATACAGTATATGAATAGAAAAATAGATGTGAAAGAAGCAGCTAATTTGCATAATAAACTAATGATTGTACATCAGTCTGTGATTGTACCTCAGTTTTGCAATGTATGGGATATATAAATATGCAGGTGAAAAATTAGTTCATTTGTTGTAAATAAGTATATGGAATACACCTTGTACAGTGAAAGTAAGGAAGCAAAGATCATCAGTCAGTGAGCAAATTGCAACAGTCATTTCTGTGGCTCTTTCTGATGCTTAAACTGGTATAATTTAGAAGCAATCAGGATTTAGAGGCAGGAATATTTCTGTCTGTTGCTTAAAGAGTTTATTTCTCTCAGACTGCAAGAATATGAAATTAGTTTTTAAACTATTATTTAAATAGTAATATACAAAAGGTACAGAAATAGCTCTTGATATGGTGATGATAAATGGTCTCTATTCACTGCTATTTTACTGTCTCAGTTTGTTAATGTAAAAGCCTTTACATAATCCTTACCAAGATACAGATTTCATATGTAATGAACCAAGGTTCAGTTTTTGATGCCTTTGTAGAAAAGGAAAATTCTTTTCTTTGTCTTACCTCTACATAGAAGGAAAAAAAAAAAAAAAAAAAAGGGCAAATCGATTACTCTTAATTAAAGCCGCTATGTACAGAGACAGTGTTAGGCGAGACTTCAACTTTTGACTTACTGGAGAATAACTGATTCGGTTAATGATTTTTATCGCCTGCAGGACGATTATCAAATCAATCAATCGTATTTCCAGTCCACTGCAAGCTTGAAATCAGCTTGCCAGTAACAGCTTTATCTTCGTTCATTGCTGAATGTATACCTAAATTTACAGTGAAACTATCCTTTCAAATACAGCCTATAGGTTGCTACTTAAATATTTATTTTGATGCTTCCAAGACCTACAAGTTTCGGTTCCACTTTTCTCAAAATAAATGCTCATAGTTGAAACAGTATGGATAATTAAAATGAAACTTAACTTCAATGTCAGCATGGCAGGGTGATGTTGTCCAGGAATATTTCAGCCATGATAATAAATTGTTGGAAAAAAGCAGTCTAAATGGTGCAACATCACCATTGCTTCTACCCCTTAGGGATACTAAGGTTTATTGTCTTTAAGATGAGAGATGAGAGATTATCTCAGTTGAGTGTTTGCTATTTCTGGTGGAACTGAAACTAAGTATTTGTCCTTAATTTCACTTTTTAAAATGTGTGAAATATTTTTTCTATAAAATTTACCAAATGACTTACCTGGCTAAATATTTATTAGGTGTCTACTTCCCTATTTTATTATTTTTTTAAAAAAAAAAGAAATTGTTTTTTCTTTGTAATATTTCAGAAGCCAAAAATATGATTTTACAGTAGGAAGTGCAATGCAGAAGTGGATTTCAGTTACTAAGAAACTGTACACAGAAAACTCCTGTGTTTAAAAGAACAAAATCTGGATCAAAGCACTAAAAAGTTAAGAAATAGAAGAAGCAAGAATCCCTAATTTGTACTGCTTGTGTACACACCTTGTGATACAATCTTCAGTTATGTGGCCATGTCCTGTTTTCTCAGGAAGCCTTAAGTGCTCTGTGCATTGGGTCTAGGAGAGGACAGTTGAGATCCTTGAATTTGTTTCTCTCTAATCACAGCCATCCAAACAGCAATTATTTAGCAAGAAATAATAATAAAAGCAATAAATTAAAAATAAATTTTTAGTTTTTAAAAAATTAAAAAATAAAACTAAAATTAAAAAAAATCAGGAATCTGTGCAACCTATGTGTTTACTGTTCGAAAGCAACTAAGTGTGCATGAGGTGATACTAATATGTAACTTTTCCTTTAGTCCACTGTCTTAATAAACACATTTTATTTTGCTAGAAAATGAAACAGGAGTTCTGTGGATAAATGATTTTTCATCCATCTCATTAGCTTACTACAAGAAAAAGACCATTTTGAATGGACTGGGTTCTGTAGAACTTGGAAAGAAAATCCTTAGTTTTAACCTTTTTTAATGTTGGGATTTTAACTTGGCAGCCTAGCTATGCAAAGACATTTATTAAAAAGTTAAGTGGGAGAGTGGATTTTCTTGCATCAACTGGCACCCAGTGTAAAACAGCAGCACGGAAGTCTGCCAGTGACTGACTCTCTGCTTATCTGTGTAACTTGAGCTGCAAGAAAGTATCTGTTAAGAGCAGTATGTTAGTCCTCTCGAAGCTCTCCATCACAGGTAGCTTTCCACACTTCTCCCTCTTAACTCTCACTGTAATTCTCTGTGGTCATATTTTTGCAAAAGAGGAAATCTCTAATACATGGCTGAGTGTAAATACTGTTCCCTTTGTGCAGGAGACCTCAGATAAAAGCCAGGAGCAGGTATGGACTGGATGAGTTGTTCTGCTGGTTTGTTTCCATGAGTGTTATTTGGGGAAAGAAAGGGTCTTTCATGTGTCACCAGCACATAACTGAAAGTGCAGGCATCGCAGAATCAAAAGTAGATAATTCCTATCATATTAAGGTCCTGTAGCAGATTTGGCATGCATTAAAAAGCCAAACAGCAGAGCAGACTTGCCTGATCCGCCACATGGCTCAGACGCAAGCTACCACAAAATGGAGGAGTGTTGCCTCTGCCTTGAGTTGGGACTCGGATTCTGCAAGTAGTGGGTGAGAAGATAGGGGGCATAGGGACACCCAGGAGCAGAGAGGTCAGCAGGTTGGATACTGCCCCAGGGATTTCCTCTGGAATAGAGGAGTGTTGTTCAGGTGAATGGTGTGGATGTAAATGCAGCATCCTACTAGTGCTGTGAAGGAGCTGGCCGCATTTTTGTGTTCCATATGTTCCCTCTCTCCCAAAACATCTGTAAGTCTTTTACTCACGCTTAATGTACTTCAGCCCTTTCTGTCCTATGATTCTCTCTTTGCCACCTTTTTAACACCAAAACATTAAAGGTTGCCTGTAGGCTGAATGTGGTCCCTTGGCTCTGTGTCATGCAGACGTTTTTCTGGAACGTTGGTTTTTTTTTTTTTTTTCCTCCTAAATTTTCTATTGATTGCAGATCTTCTGTTCAATCATCCACAAGTATCTTGGTTGCTTATACTTCAGCCTACAGTCAGCTCAGTCTTTGGATCTCTCTTTGCAACTGTTTTTTCGTCTTAGTTTCACTCTTTTCATATTGCCAGGTCTGCACTCCTTGGGCTTTTCATTTAATTAGGAACTTGTCAGTAAGCAAGTCCCAGTCCTCCATCACTTTTTGTTTGTTTGTTTTGTTTTTAAACTATGTTTAGTCCTTTTCTTTTCCTGCTCTTCATCCAGCTTGCATCTGTAATTTTTGTTCTCTACACACTTTTTGTTTTTGTATTCGTTTGCCTGTCATTTCTCTGTCCCTTTTCTTACTTTTTCCCAATTCAGTTTCGTAAACGACGCTTCAGTGTCGCTCCTCCAACTTTAGAAGGTGGAAAGAGGGAAAGAACAGTCTAACTTTGTTGTTATGCCTAAACAAGGCAAAGTAGAAAATTAAACAGTGACCAATCTGGTGAAAATTAATTGCTAGTGAATTGTTAAATGAGACTGTGGTTCACTAGAGCTATTAAATGTAGGAGATGGTTGAGAGGAGGCTGTGAGAAGTGCACATAGCTAAAGGAAGCTAAAGGAAGAACCTGTTAAGATAAAGGTAAATAAAAAGCAAACTGTGTCAGACCTTGATTGTCCAGAGAGATTTCTTGGCAGGGCAGCCTGTTCTGGCCGAATTGACACAACAAGTGTCCAGATAACCCTTCCAGGACCACCGCCAACATAAAATCTGTTGTATGTAGAACCATACACTAATAAAGAGGTTATTTTAGCCAATGTAGATACAAAGCTCAAAACTAGGAGGAGAAGCAGTAGTGTATTTTTATCACGCTTCTAGATTTTCTTTTTAATTACAGTAGAGTACAGGTATAGTAGTTACTACTAAAACTTGTGAACCTCAGTGACCGAACACAAGTTTCTTCATCTGAAGCTCCCAATTTCCACTTCAATTTCTATTCATGCTGTTTTCTTTCAGTTAAGTATCTGAAAGGGTGAAGGTCAGGAAGCCTGGGATGATGGGCATTTACAGCACACTAGTGTATATTAATCTGTTGATAAAGATTAACTAAAGAAACAAACTATTAGTGATGAGGCAGGGAGGAAGAATTGCCTATTTTCATAGGTCCATTAAAGTATTTCTAACATCACACCTTTTTATTTTTAATTTATTTTTATTTTTTATTTTTTATAAGTAGTTGTTGCTCTTGTGGGCCCATGGAATGGTGAGAGGAGCATTTGCCAGAGTTTATCCACTCTTTGTGGTTTTCATTGAATGTCTGACTTCTGGAACAAGGGGGTAGTGCCTCCAAAGAAGGCTATGGTGGATGCTAACCTCTGAGGCTGAGGGGAACAACTCGAACAACAAATTGTCATTACATAAATATCATTGCTATAAATATGATTTCTTTCTTTAAATGCAGATCTCACACACTCGACCTTTGCATAGAAGGGAAATATTCAAAGAATAACTTAAATAGACTTCAGAATAAATGAGCAGATCACAAAAATCAAATGGTTCAAATAATTCTCGTCCCAGAGCAGATTTTTTTGGCTCACTGCTTTCTTTATGAACAAAAACTCTGAATTTTAAATAAGGGTAACTATGGACAGTCTCGTGGTTGTGGGTTTCTTTTATTTAGCGTTGATGTAGTAATATTGTTCCAAATTGTTATTTTGAATGTAATATTTCTTAGGATGTGAAGAATGATACTTAAACTAATTTTATTATTAAAGAGTAATGGATATTTATTATTAAACTTTACCCTAGTCTGAGTCTGTTGTATTTCCATTGCCTGTAAGTTGCATTCTCACTAATTCTGGTAAAACTGTTGTCATGGCCTACTTGTCATTTCTTTGCATAGTATTTTTATCCTATTATCATAAAATAGCAAATTTATTTTAATTAGGGTCTTTTGAATTTAGGAAAACAAGCTTATTATTTAATGAAATATTCATTTCTTTCATTGCTTTTAATTTGAATTTTGTTTAACACACTGTTTCCATTTTTTTGTGAGCTTTTCTATGCATGTGCAAAATGTTTCTCCTCAGGCCCCCTTGTATTTCCTGGTCCAATTTTTATGAACCACCGAGAACAGGCTCTAGCCAGAATCAGACCCCATCCAGCACAGCTAAAGCATAAACGGGACAAGCACAAAGGTATTTGGTCTTCCTTACTGGCTAGGATGGAAATAAGCCCATCCTCCTAGGCAGCTCCTCCATTCGCTGAATCTCTCTCTTCAAAGCAATGCACAAAATAGCTTCTGCTTTTCCTCTTGTTAATATTTCTTTACCTGAGGAGAAAGAGAACGCATTTAGATGTTGATCTGCTTTACAAGTGTAAGTTAGTCTACATCACCTTTATGTTTCTTTCCTTTTTCTTTCATTGAGGATGTCATTGTTTTTCTGTGTCTTTCCTCATTTCTAAGGTTTTCTTTTTCCTCAAGTTCTTTAATTTTACCATAGAAAATTTTAACACCTTCCAGTGATTCAAATATGACATTTGTACTATTACTGTTTTCAACGTCTGTGTGTGTATATCTGGGGCAGCTGCTAATGCATTTTATTCTAGTTGACTTAAACCTAGCATAAAATCTACCTTTCGTAGTATGAACTCTATTAACATCTTTTTTAAAATGTAAATATTTAAAATTAATGTAAATAATGTAAGTATAAGCAAAAGTGTAATTTTTTACGCTGCAGTGTTCTTTGCAGTTAAATGCTTTTGTTTCAGAATTGTAAGTATGGGCTGTCTTTGGTATCTCCAACATTTATTTGTCTGGAAGGCTTCATTCATTAAACCTAGTATTCGAAATATGTAACATTCTTGGGTCCAAGTGACTTTTCTTTAAGCAAGAGAGTTCATTACTAAGTGTTTCAGGTGAGCTTATTAAAGTTGAGCAAAAAGTTATTACAAATATGTATGCATATGTGTACACATACAGATGTTTGTTTTATGTATTTTATGTATATTTTTATGTATATATATGTGGACAGACCTAAGCAAAGTAAGCAGAAAGCTCCTCAAATAGTGAGGGCCTGGAGTGCTGTGAATAGACTTTAAAGAATAATTAAATACGGGAAAAAAAAAGAAAAGAAAAAAAAAAGTGGGTAGAATGGCATTTCACTTGAATCAACAGTATTTAGTGAAGATACACTTTGCAAGCCCTTGTCCTTGCAGGCACAGAGTGGGTTCAGCCTTCCTACCTCTGTACATCTTGGACGTGTTTGTAGGTGGAGCTCCTAGTTCTGGGGGAAATATTTCCTTAGGTACCTTAAATATCTGCTAGAAGTTATATGCATTGCGGTCAGTTTGAGGCTTTCATTGTTTCTTAGAACTGTAAGGCCAACTCAAAGGTCTGTATTATGTTGAAAGATTTTGCTCGATATGCTCTGTAGAACTGACAAGGAGTATTCTTCTGAAGTAGCATCTTTAGAAGTGAGCTTGGAGACCCTTCTCAGTCACAAAAGATTGCTTGCCGCAAGAAGACAACAGATCACACTACGAACTAGAAATAACCCTTAACTTTTGGAAGAGCTTCAAAGTGAAAAAGGGAGATTGGCGAAGGGGGCTGTAGTCACATAATGGGAAGGGGGAGCTCCCATGGAAAGGATAAGGAATATACCTCATCTTCAGAAGGGTTGTCTTGCAAGCCTGTTTTACTCTACACAGAAGATAGTAACACTAATCCTCAGTGCTCTGAAGCTGTAATGTTGACACCATGACATTGGCACTGGAATGCTTTTTGTCTCACTTTTGAATGTAATGCTTTCAAAGCCAGCACTCTGATTTCTGATCCTTCTGTTAAAGCAGCCTTGCAAAAACTACAGCAACCAGACCTTCAAGGTTTTCTGGATGGGAAAATTTATTATGCTGGTAGTACTGATGAGACCAGTGCTGAAGCTGGAAACTCTCCAGGCCTGTAGTTCTGCACAACTTTATTTGATAATGGCGTGCATAAACTTGAATGTGAACTTCCTTGGCACTGACAGTTATGGCTTAACTTAAACTTTTTTTGATGGTATAAAATTATCAAATCTACCTCTTGTACCTGAAATTCTGTTGAAGTGCTCTGTTGAAAAGTCTTTTATTATGAACACTTGTTTTCTGGGAAGCTCGCCTGTCATCCACTCATCTTAGACCCTTTACTTAGGGTCCATAGAGTCTGCGTTATCCAAGATCATTGTTACAAGGAATGCATTAAACACTATTTTTCTGGTCTTTGCATATCTATTATAAATGCAGGTAGAAAGGAGTTGATATCCCTTTCTTGGGATACACTGAGTGCTTTGAAACTGAGAAGAAAAAGTAGCTTGTGCTTCAGCCTTATTCTGACATAAGGTAGTGGCTTCTTAGTCCTCATCTCTAATCCCTAAAAGATCACTGGGGATTTGACCAAAAAGATATATAAAAAGATGATAAAGGTATATAAATTTTGCATATGCCTCTCTTTTTAGCTATAGAAATCAACCTAAAAACAAAGCAAACTCGGATCAGTTAAGCATTTATAGGAATTGTCACCCTTTTATTTGTGCAGTTGCTGCAATTAAATGGAAAAGATAAATGCTGGTGTTTTGTGTTAAATCATGTTGGAACCAGGCGCAGGACAACTGCACAGGCCTTTACGGGAGCCGAGCCGGATTACAAGACACGATCCCAATATGAGTTTAGATCTTGTTCCGTTTATTAGCGGAAGTGCACATATATTTATACCTACAAGCATCCGAGGGATATCCAGGTTAGCTACGATTGGTTGCTAGGGAGGTGCTATGTCCCGGCCGCATAGGCTCTTTCCCAGCTCTTCAAAGTTGTTTACCAGAGACAGCTAACTCCTCTTTCCCACATAGCGCCCCATTCCCAGCCGGCCAAGGACAACTCACTAACACTCCCCAGTACATTATCAGCAAGGCGCAGGTGGTGCAGGTTCCCAGCACAGTGCAGATTCTCAGCACAGCATTTCTCTACAAAATCAAGCCATTTTTTTACTTAATTAGGTTTACACACCACCATCAATGTCAAGACACTTTAATAAGCAGGGACTTGTCAAACCTGACATGGCGATAAAATTGGCAGATGCTTCTGTGTCTAGTCTCAAGTATTAATCCCAAATTAATAACGCTACAATCTTTTTTTTTTTTTTTTTTTTTTTTTGCCGTTTTAAGTTCCGGCTCTCTTTTCAGGATTGTATGTCATCTTTCATGTTTGCTCCTCTCTTACCTGTCACTCAGTAATTCTTTTTGGAGGTTTTAAAATTTGTTAAATGGAGTTGCCCAGAATTTTGAGGAGATTAGGAAAACTAATACTGCCCCAAGAAAGCTATCTCTGTTATCTGTGGCAGCTCAGCAAGATCAGCAGTGGCCAAGAAAGATGATGCTACCAAAGAGATTACCTCTAATGGACACTAATGAAGAGATATTTAAGATCGTAGTATTGATAGGACCTTTGGCTCCTTTTCTAGAGTTTTAGAAATCATTGTGGTTTCCTTTTCCACCAAGGGTGCGGGGAACTACTAAAATGACTTACTCCAGAAGATATTTAAGTTACATGGGCAGTTCTACCAGTCATTTGTAGGGTTCTTTTGATATCTGTAGAGAACACTGTGTGCCTTCTTGTCCACCTGCTAATTAAAACGGAAGATTTGGTAAAACAAGGCAAAAGGCAGAAGACAAGGCAGAAAATGAGCTCCCTGGTTTCTGTGCTCTGTTCAGAAGTCCCTAGGCATCGATCTCTATTTTGACTGAAGCCGTGAAGCTGCACTCATAGGCTGATTTGTTCAAGAAAGATTGCTGTCTGTTAAGACTGTAAATATTAATAGCCCGCCTGTGAGGGTTGTATGTCACCAGTACTAACCCTGTTATAGGGATAGTTTCTGCTAAACTAAACAAATGGGCATTAGTAATGCTGTTAAGACATAGTTCTCCAGAAAACTCACAGATAGGCATCCTTAGAAGCACTTTTCCTGTCCTCCAAACTAATTGAGGAGAAATGAAATACTATACATACTACAGCTGGGGTGCAGAAATATAGATTTTTGCCCCTAGGTTTAAGTTTTGTGTCATGGACCTGTAAGAATGCACGCTTTCTTTCTTTTTTAAAAATTCTCTGTGTGTTTGTTTCCTCAGCACCCCATCTCTTTATTTGCAAACCTGACTGAATAAGCTTTTTCTTTACTTTTTTTATTATTGTTGTTTTTAACTAAATAATAGTTCTACTAGTTTACTCAGTTTCTTTCTCCAACTACGAGGATTTCCAGGACTCTGAAATACCCTTTGTGTGACGTTGCTCACGGGAACTGCCCCTGTGGTCAGTTCCATGCAACATGGACAGCAGAAGGGGCTTTTGAACATTTCCCCCAGTGTTCTACTCCTCTCAAAAGGATATGAAAGATTCAAAGTTTTTGCTCTGTGGAAATCCCAGCTGGATAACATTAAAAGCGCTAACTCGCTTGCTTTACTTACAAGATACCATTCGTTCATCTAGAACAACGGCTACCTCAGTAATATTTCGTCTTCTGCTTTCACATGAGGACTATTAGTGGTTTTGCCACTGATGAAACAAAATGCACAGAAGCATTTGAAGGAAAGCACACACATCTATTTCCACAGTTACCGCTGTTCCTCAAGGCACGCGTGCAAATAAGCTTTCTGCATTGATACCACACTCACGTTAAACAAATTTTCACTTTTTCAAGGTGCAGAAAGGGCAATGATTGACCAACACTTACTTGAAGCCTTATCTCTAAGAGTAAGAAAATGCATGGCTTGCTTCTCCCAGGCAGTACTGCTGGAAAAATGTCATGTTTTGGCCATGCAATGGAGCACAGAGGTAGCTGGTGCAGCCCAAAGTTCAAGTGAAAGGATGAGTAGTAGTGTTTTGACTAAAACATTTTGCGCTAAATAAAAGACTTTATTTTTCCCCTAAACAGCAATTAGCTGGGGATTTTGCACTTAGTGCACATAAATTATTTCAGACTGTTATCAAGTTCTGGAGATCAAGTCAATTCAAACTTCTTAAAATATTTGCCATTCAATGAAGGTTGAGAGAAATTTTGTTTTAAATCTGAAAATTTTGTGTTTAAGCAAAGCAAGGTCTATCTTCAAGGTAGTTTCTGCCTTTGAATTCTGTCTTCTTAAATGCTTTGATAAGTCAGCTTTGCAACTTTAAAAGGCTAATTCTGTAAAACTTTTTCTTAAAAAACAATTTGTTCCTGGCTAAGGAAATATAAAATTTGTCTTGTGTGGATGTTCTTTCACTGCATCTCACACAACAGTATTGTGTTCTTATGCATACGTGATGACCTGCTTTCACTTAAAACTTTGGAAAAAATAAGAATATGTCTAGAATCTTTTTAAAACACTTTTTCAAAGATTAAAGGTTATACACTTGCTATTTGTGAAAACAGCGGTTTGCAACTATTAGAGGTTTTTAAAGCATTTAAGGGCGGTATGTCTTCCCTTAGGCTGAAGTAGGAAAAATGCACGTGTGTGTGTGCAGGTGTCTGCAGATCACTTGATATTGCAGTTAGGTGACCAGAATACAATTTTTGCCCATATTTTTTAGTATGACTGCATATTAGTTGTCGTGTACCTAGCTGGTTTCATCACTGGAAGCACCTGCAGCCCCATCACGTGCATTTGCATGGTGTGAGATATTGTGTTTTTTGTTAAGCCCATAATAAAAGTTTTGAAGTGACCTTCCTGTATTGGCAGTTCACATGCAATAAAAAAAAAATTGAGCAATGTCTATAAAAACAGGGTTCTCTTTTAGGATCTGAAAGATTTGCACGTCTCAGTTCTATGCTGCATGCAGTGAATAATGAAGACTCAAAGACTTCCATTAGTAATTATTTAGGAAAACATTATATTTAAAAGTGGTAAATGTAGATCTAAACTGCCAACATACTGTTTGCAGTAGTAGTTAGTTACATCTGTCAGTTTTGCCAAAAAATAATATCAGTCAGCATTACCACAGCATAGATGTGGAATCTCTTGAGGGCAGTCATTTTCACTACAGAAGTTTTCTCTTGGTTCTCTACGCTAGCACAGAAACCTCTCTGGTTTAAACAGGTTTTGTAACAGGCAGTAGCTACACATGTTTGCTGGCCTCCCTTGGTAGTGGGAGTATGCATACTGAAGTCATACCTGAAATTCTTCACCCTGACAATAAACTTCCTTTAGAGCTTTCATTGACAACTTTCTAGACAAGATTAAATAGTTTAATGATGCTAGATATGCTGCTTGTTTCTCTGCCCTTTAGTTTCTTGCCACTATTACAAAATCTGTGTGTCCCCATGGCAATACAGTTTCACAGAATCACAGAAGGGTTGAAGCAGGAAGGCACCTGTGGAGATCATCGAGTCCAACTCTCCTGCACAAACAGGGTCACTTACAGCATGTAGCCCAAGGTCATGTCCCAATGGCTTTTGGATATCTCCAAGGATGGAGATTCTACATCCTTTCTTTAATTATTGTCTAACTGTTAGAGGGCCTTAAAATGGCAATCTGATTTCTGGGGAGGATAGTGGCTTTCGAGAAATTTATAAATAACATCTCACTTTAATGCTTAAAGCTGATGTGAAAGCAGATTGACATTAGGAAGCAATAATGCACACCAAACTTACCAAAAGAAGTCACAGAAACAATGTCTAAAAATACATCTTCAATGAAAACAAAATGGACATGGTAGTAGCATGTTGGCATTCTCTGAGATTAACTGCATAAATAATTTGAATTGAGTAAAATAAGGACTGCATGGCCAACCTTGAAGTCAAGTAAATCCTTAATAAGTTGATGTTAAAAAATAGACTGGCTTATTCTGTTTAATTACTGTGCTTTCTGTGTACTTCACAATGTTATTTCGATTGAAAAATTAAAGTGATTGTGATAGAGCAAAGTTCTGCAGTTACTTCAGTTTTCTGTTTTGCTGATCTTTTTTGTCGGCTCTTCAGAAGTTCCTACTTTAGAGGATACTATATATTCTAATGTGTAACTTTGATGCAGTAGATTGCTTAGAAGTAGATTTTCTGTCCTCTTTCAAGTCTACTTTTTTGGCACATTTTGAGCTGTCTCTCTCACTATTCTGTGAGTTCTGCTCCTACCTTATGAAGTGGTGGGGGGGATTTATTTACTATTCTTGTTCTAACATAACATTTTTAGAAGACTAGGGATATAATTATAAAATGTGTTTATAGATGGAAGTGGGGAAAGAGGTGAGAAAGATGCGAGCAAAATCACAACCTATCCACCGGGGGCTGTCCGCTTCGACTGTGAACTGCGAGCTGTACAAGTCAGTTGTGGATTTCACCATTCAGGTAAGAAAAAAAAAAGAAAATTTTAATTTTACGTTAGATTTTTTTTTCCCCTCATATGTAGTTCCACTGCTTTTAGTGTTCAGCAAGGGTGCTTGTTGGGAATGTTAAGTTGACCAAGTTTCTTTATCACTATGTGGCTTGCATTTCTGTTCTTGAGCAGTGAAAAGGGGCAAGAAATATTGTAAGTAGAATTAACATGGGATTATTATGCAGTAATTAGTATGGAATTCAGCTGTTTTTGAGCCATGTGGTAATATCTGCAAGCCACAGTTTTACCCCCCATGGGAGTTGAGGAAGATGGTGTGAATCTTTTAGTAAAGGGTTCCAGTAGCTTCTCCGAAAGGCGAACCAGCACTGGTGCAGTAGCACATGAACACGTCTCTTACTTCAGATTTCTAAACCAGAATTCACACTTTTGTCTTTAAAAAGCAATGACAAAAAGCATTGTTTAATGTTAGTGTTAGTTTATGCCACTTCCCTGCCAATGGCCTCTTTGAATGATGAGAGTGATCCTGTACAACTTCCCCATTAACTTGGGTGTAAACTGTAAATCACACGTGGTACACGTGTGATTACCACTTACCACAGACAGAGAGGTCTGGCCACCAGACAGAGACTAGTGTAATCATTTCAGCAGCTGTTTTGGGGGCTGAGTCTGTATGGAGGGCTCTTGAAAGCAAATGTAATCTGTCGTTTGCTTCTTTTCTAGCTGTTCTTAATATCGTGATGGATAAAAGCAGAATACATAACCACGTAAAAATGGGCAGTTACACATACGAGTTGTGACAAACAATAGCACACTCTCTTCCTCTGAGTGTTTGTAAATATATTCATGTAGTGAACATGTATCCATCTAAGGGCTTGGTACCTGGATTTTTCCTTAGCAATAACCTTGCCTCAGCCCCACACATACTGAATTCCTGTATATAAGGAAATAGCTGTGGAGAAGATAGACATGTAGAAATAACTGAGAGTATGTATGGCAAAAAAGCATCTACATGAAATATAAATACATAAAATATAAGAAATATATAAAATATAAGAAAAACTTATTGCAAGAAGTTTTTTTGGCTGTATTGCAGGAACATTTTGTGTACCTATCATATTTTTAAATCTTGTCTACTTTCATATGTATGAAATGTAGCATTGAAAAGCTATTTTAGCTAAATAATTCTGACAATGATTCTTTTCTGGCTTATGTGTTATCCATATGCTTTAAAGTATTTACCACTAGTGAATCTGGACATTAATGGTTGAAAGTAAATATGGCATTTCATGATGTTTTTATCATTGTTCAGTAAGAATTTCTCTCCTCTTTAGCCATACTCAGCTTCTTAAATATTTTAATCACGTATGACACAAGTCAAAACATTGACATGTGAAAGCTTTTTGTATGTCTGAAAAAGAGCTGATTTTTGTTACTTGTTTGCTTTCAGTGGTTTTGATGGAGAATGGTGATGTTTACACATTTGGATATGGGCAGCACGGGCAGCTTGGACATGGTGATGTTAATTCCAGGTAAGCTGAGAAGTAATCAAGGGACATAACTGTACATTGATGAATGACTATATGAAGAGTGACTAAAATTCTCTGTTCGTCTGTAACTAGGAAGTGAGAAAGTTAAGTAACATCCAAATTAGAAGCTGATAAAATCTTTACCTAGGCATACCCCCTGTATTCCTCTGGTTAGATACACTTTTAACAGTAACCCTAACTTTGCACTATATAGACAGTCGATTTAGTATATAAAAGCTTCTGTATATAGTTATTACCATAACTTTGATAATTGACTTGAAAGTTCTTCTGTCTTTTCACCTCTGTGCCACATGAGAGTGCATAGCATTGAAATCTGATTGAGATTACATTATTTTTACAAAATATCACAATTTTAATATTATAATGCTATACATAGATTCTACTTAGATCTACTTTTTTATTTGTTTCATGATTAACCTCCTCCCCTCTCCAAATTAAGTTGCTCTTAGTTTGGGACTCAGCTGTGTTTTATAGACATCTCATTTAAGCATCAGCATGCAAGAGATGTTTGCTTTCTTTGTGGTTGCTGGAAGAGCAGTCAGAGAAATCAGTAGGGTCTGGAGAGCTATTTGGCTAACTAGATGCATACATCCAGTCTCTCAGTAAGTAGCTTTGTTAAATCTGTTGGCTAGATCTCTATTGACTACAGCTGAATTTAGGTGTCTTTAATGTGAAGCTTAATCTCACCCTTAGTATCACTTCTGGTCACTAAAGTATCAGTGTCCAGCCATAAAGGAAAGGTAATAATGTTATTCTTTGGGCAAGCACATATACCATGTGCATGGGGGATGGGCTTTTGAATAGCAGGAGTCACTGGGTCTTTGTGTGTGTCCCATAATGCCTAATATTCCTGTGTAAAAGGTGTATAAGGAATGGAGCATCTGTAACCTCTCTTCAGTTCTGTCCTTTTTCTTGTAGTAGTGAGATGAAGATTACTTGAGCATCTATCCTCCTTATCTTTTTGGAAACTTTAAAGTCATTTCTTTTGTCAAGTTTCTGGAGAAATCTTCATCGTCTTAAAACTTCCATTGGATTCACTAAACCAAGAGGGAAAGGGAAAGAAGGAAGACACTTTACTGGAAGTATTACTTGGCAGTGACTGCTGTGCTTAGTGGTAGTCTCCAAACTGTGACCCCTGCTCATTTTGTATTGCACTGGTGATTGCAGTCTATGTTTCTGCCATTGAACAATGGCAAAGATCTACCTATTCTTTTTTCATTCCTGGAAATTCATGGAGAATTGGTCCAAGCTATGACTGTTTTAGCAGACAGTAGCTGCTAGAATAAGATTAATTGCTGTCTTCACCACTAAATAGGTGCAGGCAGCAGTAGTTTCTGAAGACAGCAGGGCTGTCTGCTCTTTTTGTCAATATTTCAGGCAGTAAACCCCAAATCTGTTGTTTCTTAAGGCAGAAACTGGACGGAGACCAGATATGGTTTAAAATGAGGTTAGGATGAGGATTTTAAATAGGATATCCTATTTAACATAGGATAACATGAAACATCCTGTCTCAAATGATTGTGCTTGGCCAGGCCGTGCATGTGAGGAGTTACAAGGGGCTTGGACTGGCTCACTGTACTGCAGCAGATCCCAGAGAGTGTCTGGAAGGACAAAACTTGAAAGAGTTTGGAGTGTGTCCTATGCATGAGAAGTGGCTATAATACTATATTGCTGTTTAGCGCCATCATTCAAATGGTAATTTCCTCATTGATGTACTTCTTTTTCCAGCTTTAAGTAGAGATCTCTCCTCTGTCCTCACAGTAAGGGACTCAGAGAAGGAAACAGGGAATCCTTATGCAGAGTTCCACCTGAGTTGGGACGCAGTGGTGCTCAGATGGCCACCTCCAGCCAGGTCAGTGGTATGTCAGTCATGCAGTGTGACACATTGCCTGTATTGACCCTGAGAAGACTATCGTCTTCTGGATTCAGGAACTGATGCTCTACTATGTTTCCAGGAGAAAAAAAAAAAAAAAAAAAAAGGAATGTCATTTAGGCAATCTGGCTAATCTTTGCATATAGCAGCCCCTGAAGGAAAGAAGGGATAGGAGAAAATAAGCAACTGTCATTTGCATCCGAGGGACCATCTTCATTGCTGGGTGAAGACATAATGCAAGTTCCTGGTCAGTAGTTGATGAGTGGTCCCTTCAGAGACTTCTGTCTGGAAGTGTAGCGATTTAACAGTGAGACTACAGTTAAACAAATCTTGAAAACACTTTAATATTTTGAATCCCGTACAGCTGTCCAGAAGTGTCTTTCTTCTTAATAAAAGGAATTCTGGACCTATGCCTTAGAGTATGGTAAACCCTACAAATTCTTCCTCTGGCTTCCCTAGGCGGGAGGTGTGTTACATGCCCTTGAAGACTCTGTCTTCAACAGGACTTATGAACAAGATGACTTGATTCTGAGTAAGCCATTAACAAAACTCTAATGATGTGGAGACACAATGGATGGTGCTGCTTTTCCTCCAACAAGGACTTTAACTGTTCTCAGATAAGCGCTTTAAGGATAAGTGATCTTGTTCCTGAGAGGAGGTTCTTTTCTGTTCCAGTATGTCGGATCTCGGAGCCGTTGAGCTGATGTACATAGATCCGTTGGTGATCTATGCACAACACTAGGGATTTGTCACCCTTTGTCACAGGGATGCATATATTCTCCTCAAACTAGACACTGTATAGGTTGATAGAGACTCAGTGGGATCAGGAAATGCTTTGCAGTATCTAGACTTGGTGAAAAATAGTGAATTTTTACTTAGCAAAGGAACATCTCTTCTGGATACTTCTCTAAAGAAACTACGACTCCGTTTTTTTCGCTTGTTCAATATGTGTCCGCATTTCTTAGCACAGACTGTTTCAGCACTGTATTAGCAAGGATGTGATCTGGCGATCAAACTCCAGAAGAGGAACCACTGACGTAAGACAACCCTCTTGTGTCTTTACTTCCCACAGGTGGATAGCAATGTGGAAGAAATACTGAGCGGACCTTCCATGGGCAGGCAGTTACATTTTAAGGATAAAGCAGAGAGGTTCTATCCTACTAATATCTCTAGGAAAAACAACACATCCAGAATCTCTGCTGCATAGCATCACATTTCTAGAGTCATTCTCTGGTATTTTTCAGTAGTAGGAAGCAGATCTTGTTTAGACCTTTTCACCAATTTCCCAGGTACACCTGAAAACCTGTTAGAACAGTTTTTACCATAACAGCCTCTGTTTTTGCAGGCTGTTTTTGCAGCACCAGGGTCAGCTGCCCTGCACTTCATCTTGCTCCGCCTGCCCGTCTGGATAAGCACCATGGACAGGGGTCTCTCCAGCAGGGATTGTGCGCTAGGGTTGCAAGGAACAACTGCATCCATTTGGCCGAAAAGTTTGCTCTTCAGGGCCAGAGAGCCTCAGTGCCTGCAGCCTAAACGTGTTTGGACCTTCTGTAGAGGTTTTCTATGTTGACTTTCAGATGGATAAATATTCAACAATGTCACAGGTTTAAAATTCCTTACAAATCAGTCAGACCCACTCATTTTCCCCCTACATTCCTTCTCTTATGGAGTGAAAACAATTTCTTTGTAGTTTTTATTTATTTTGTTGATGTGATCACATATCTTGGTCTTTTTCCTGTTAATTTTCTAGTATACTTTAGTTAGCCTATATAAAAAGGCAGGATATCATATTAATAAAGCTATTTATGGAGATACCATATGGCATCTTTCTCATTATTTGGTTGTCCACTTCTGCTCAGCTACAGCTAGCAGAACATCTTTGGTGCTCCTCAGATAACCTTCTTGGTAGAGTCAGTCAGCAGGATAGAAACAAGTTTTGGGGGTCTTTTTTTTTTTTAATATCAGTGACTGGCCCTATACTTGTCAGAGTAAACATGATATTTGTGAGAGTCGAAGACTGAATGCTGCTTACTAGCCATCTGCAGTGAGATTCACAGAAACATGCACTTCAAGGAAGAAATAACTCTGTCTCTGTGAAATTGTTCTTTTTTTTTTTTTTGGTCTGTCATTGTATGTCATTTTGCCTGAGGGTATAAAGGGTTGTGCAAGGCATGTTTAGCCCCAGGAAACACCATGATGCTTCAGACACACAAGCTCTGGTAGCAGAGTCTTCATAAATTCATTACCTTTGTGATAAATATCTATTGTGATAATAATTCAGTTTTCATGCATCAAACAGAAAAAAAAATTCATTTGTTGTGTGTTTGCTAACAAGTCTAAGATGAATAATTTCATACCTACAGCTGTCACAATTTTGAAGGAAAAGAGTTTTAATGAAAAGTGTGGAAAAAAACCTTCATGTGTTTTTTCTTTGTAAAAGGAATAGTTTTAGAGTAGTTCTTAGCTGCATTTCATTTCTACTTCAGAGCCTTTTCTAGGTTGCCTTAAAGGGAGTTAACGATGTCCCAGTATTGTTTCTTTTTTTTTTTTTAAATGTTTCATTGTTATTGCTGCTCAACTTCATTTGGGGTGTGTGTGTGTGTGTGTGAAATCTTATTGGTACCTAAACCCATGGGATTATAGACCAACAAAGGGTCTTTAAATTTATGCATGTCATGCTGTTCATCTCCTACCACATTTATGCATTCTCTCCATCTCCATCGTTCTTCTTTCTGCATTTCCATGTACCTCTGTATTCCCTTCTGCCCTCCTGTCCTGTTTCTTTTATCTACTGAATGGCTCTTCTTTCTCCCGCTTTCTCTACTTTTTTACTTGCAATTTAGCCAAAACCAGAATGTGCAAGTAACCCATTTTTTGCCCATCAGCTACTGAACAATTCATAAATAGTGTGCTGATGTTCAGCATAAGACAGCCTATTCTTATTTTAGATTAACCTACTTTTGAAAGCCCATATTTAAATGTGAGTTTAAGTAGCTGCTTTTTTCTGTGGTCAGAGTTATCAAACATAAAGTCTCTCAGGAACATATTTTTGTCGAATTCTCATTTTTTTCTAAGTCCAAAATAATTTTGGAGGTTATGTAGGTGTTCATTCTGTGGTTCAAAGGTTTTTGCACTTCTGGGAGGCGCCTGTTCACTTTATTGGGTTTTAGATTTAAAATTTAGTTTTAGTATCTCATACTTCATCCTTTTTGTCTTCTCTGGCGTTTCTTTTCTCAAACAATGTTTTCTTTCTTTGCTTGTTCAAACTGCTGATTTTTCTCCTTACGTTTCTACTAAGTTGGGTATAGATTTCTCTGTGCCAGTTCATAGTTGGGAGACACGAAGATTAGACTTTTCCAGAGCTCTCTGGAAAACAACATGTCAAGGATGGAGAGTCTGAATTTGATGCAGTTTTTCAATGTCATTAAAAAGCTGCTGGCCGTGAATAGACCTTCTCTTCCTCTTATAGCTCCCTAGACAGATAAGTGAGGAGTTTCATAATGCTTCTGCTTCTGGTAACTGCACTACATACCAACCACATAGGCTTTGATTGTTTAAATTTAAAGATTTTTGTTCTTAACTATCATTCACACTGAAATATGTTTTAATACTGCGTTTTTGCAGTGTATTCTATTAGTGTAATCTCCAGTACCATTAGTGTAATTCTACAATAATAGATTAAAATAACCTCTTTTATTCTCTGCTAATTTCTGAGTGTAATTGAAAAGGGCATTTAATCTGGATCTCTGTAACACTGGAGTTCAGTATCCAGAGCAGTCTTACAAACTGGTATCCAAATTTTTTTTCCCTCTTTCACTTCACTCTTGTTAGACTTTTCACTTAATATGTAAGATGTTTCTTGACTCAGGTTCTGTGCAGTATGTGAATATATTTCACAGTCAGTGAAGTCTTGTTAATACTAATATTTGTGTTAAATGTTGCATAAGCATGCATTGATACAAAATTAATTTATTTTGATATAGGGGATGTCCCACTTTGGTGCAAGCATTACCAGGTCCTAGCACACAAGTTACTGCTGGAAGCAACCATACAGCTATACTCTTAATGGATGGCCAGGTTTTCACATTTGGAAGTTTCTCAGTAAGGAAATAATATTTACTTATGGGAATAAGGTAGTAGTTAATGTACTGTACATGTATACTGAATTGTTCAAAGACCTTTCAAAACTGTTTACTTATACTTCTACACATAGAACAACTCATGACTTCTGCACGTCTTTTTTGTCTGTGTCCCTGTTACATTTAAAATTGTGGCCTCTACTGCTGTCATGTCTAGGAAAGCATGACGTCAAAAATTCTTGATGTTTTATATTGTAATTAACAACTGGCATTTAAAATTGGGATGTTTTATTAAGTGGAGGCGTGTTTTCAAACTGCCATTTTTGCAAGTATTGTTGCAATCACAACTGAATATCTATTTCATATTCTATTACCTGTGTTTGCAACATTTGGAAACAATAACAGCATCCTGATTTTCATAGAAATAGCCCTAAACGTTATGCTTAGGGCTAAGAGGAGTCATTATTGGGTGCGATACAGCATAATTCTTGTACTCTTCTTTCATGCTCATGTGGCACATATTCTTCTATGTCCATGTGGAATCCATTCGTGTATTCATTAATTAAGCACTTAGACATCATTTAACTCGCCCTGCTTCTGACTTGGAAGTTTTATGCCTCCTCCTACTGGCAAATGCCCCCTCACTTGCAGTTTCTCCCAAGTTTGTTGCTAGTAGTTTCTTATTATTATCCTTTTGACAAAAGCTAGGGTACAGGTATTGTGCTATTTGCAAATGCTTTAAAAACAATCTACTGCCAAACATAAAGGAAGAGAATCTTTTGAAATCATTTTTTTTAAAAAAGCAAACAAACAAAAAAAATTAATGAAATTTTTAGAATAAGCTAACCCTGTTTTTAATTAAATCTGCCACAGGAAGACTCTTACATTAGGTAATATTTTGCTGTTTTTCAAGGCAAGAGTAACAAAATTTTGGTCTATATCTTTTTCAAAGGTGATTTCAGCACACAAGCTTAAGCTCTATTGACTTTCAGTGAAACAGCCTTTGGAAAGCCAAATTTACTTTGAAAAATAGGACTTAAAAGCCTATCTGTTAAATGAGTTTTTCTAAAAAAATGTTGAGGCCGTGTTTATACCACCTGATTTTAATGTCACGTGACAGAAACTTGGTTGAGGGCCTTGTAAAATCAGAAAGGCTGATTTGCTTAAATACAGATGGAAATTTTCCTTTCTGGAACACAGTTTCTGTCATATTTGTCAGAAGTCTTCATTTGGAAGTAAATTTGTATATCATAAAAGCACAAAAGAAACAAAATCAGCATTGAAATGAAAGGAAAATAGAAATAGATAATTTTTTCAATATTGTGATTTTCAGAAAATACATTGCAAAATTCATGTAAAGGCATGTAGCTATTTATTAATATAATTTTTGTTTTAATGAAGGTGTAGAGAACAGTACGTATAGTTATAAAATATGAGTTGGTCGTGTTCATCTGCATGGAAGCATCTGTGATGATTTCAGTGCATGTATATAGACATAATTTACTGAAATGGAATTTGCTAGTTAATGCTGTGTTCAAATCAGCAGGAAATAAAATATATGTTATTAAGTAGTAGTAATGTGTATCCCTTCCTAAACTGTATTGTAACTTGATTTTTTGTTTTGGCGTTTACAAATTCCTGACATTGCATAAATGGAGAATTCTCTTCATTCAAAATCAATTCAAAAGAATTTTTATAAAGATGGACTGCATTGCTCCTTCTTATGTTTATTAGGTCATCTTGTCAGTCTCTTCCTTTGTGTTTGTTTCCCCCAAACAAAAATGTTGCTTCTGCTTAATATTGTGTTAAATAGAGCATGTGAAACACAAATTTGATCCAAGAAAAGTAAGTAGTTTTGAAAGAGCTTTTGAATAAAGATCTCTTGGGCTAAAAAACAAGAGTTTGGTATGTTGAGAAATGTTAGAGTGTTTTTGAAAAGCAGTTTATAATATTGTGTGTGCTTATTCTTCTGACTTAACAAATTTAGAACTGTAGAAATAAATAATTTTATTTTGAAAAACTATCAATTCAGAATATTTCTTTAAGCCATCCTGATTTTTGTTAAAGAAGGTTTGTTTGTTTGGAGAAGAAAACTACTCAGTTTTAGGAAACTTGCGATTTTTGTTCCTACAAGGAAAAACTTTATATATATATATATATAAATATATAAATACATATTTTAATCTGTGCTTTAGCAAAGCAAAGATGCATTTGTAGAGTGGAATATTCAGAGTTTCCTCCCTCCACCCATTTTTGTGTTCTTAATCCTTAGCTTTATGGACTTGATCCACAGCTCAGATTGTGTGTTCCTGTTTCAGTCTCATCCATAGAATGACACTTATGAATAAGTCCCTCATATAAAGAGAGGTGTGTAATATGCTGGACAGAAGGTATTAGATGTACATGCCTTCACATTTTAGATTAAAGTTACCTTGACTTTGTTAATTTGCAATGAGTTTCCTTCTGTCTGAGTGAGGTCGATGGAGTTTGAGCAGGTTTATTGCTTTAGTTCTCACTAGATGCTTCCAATGAGGCACCTGAGGCACTACAGCCCACCTCTCAGTAACTACTTGTAGGTTCAAGATAAAGCCCTAGTTTCCACGTCAGGATGTTAAAGACCTTATACAGGGATGTTTGCTTAGGCACTCGATAGTTTTTTTAGCACAAATTTATATGTTAATCAATCTCTAGGTATTGTTAGGTGGTATTTGTTCTGTATAACTTACTGTGCATATGAATGAGGAACTTAGGGAATTTAAACAGTCTGAATTTACTTGCATTTAAATATGTAATGCTTTGCTTAAAGTAGTCACTGCTTTATGAAAGTAATTTTTGGTAAAGTATTTCTTTCACATTAATTGTTTTGTATGTTGAATGTATCTATGGAAGTAACTTGTTTATCTGAAAGTGACAAGCAAGTTGCTGATACTGTTTCCCCATTAGACTTACTGCTATTGGTATTTACTAATTCTTGCATTCTGTCTATAGAAAGGCCAGCTTGGTAGACCAATTTTGGATATGCCCTACTGGAATGCAAAACCAGCACCTATGCCTAACATTGGCTCTAAGTACGGACGCAAAGCCACGTGGATTGGAGCGAGCGGAGACCAGACTTTCCTTCGAATTGATGAAGCTCTCATTAATTCTCATGTGCTTGCTACGTCAGAGATATTTGCAAGCAGGCATATAATAGGCAAGAACTCCTCTAGAATATTTTTGATTTCTTTACAGAATTATTGGTGAAAAATATAAATTGTCATGCAAGCAATAGAGGAGCAACTCAAAATTAGTGAATGGAGTGAATTCTAATGCTTCTAACTTTCACTCTCCAGTTAAACGTTGTGGTGTTAGCTGCTTTAGAAAATTAATTTTATTAAAAATTAGAATGTAAAAGTCTTAGCTTTACTCACACTTTGAAGTTTTATTCTTATTTTACTATGGCTTAACTTCTTCTGTAGCAGTATGTATGTTCTACCCTGCCACCTATGCACTTTACTGCATGCATAGAAGTTGCTGTAGAGTGAGTGGAGTCTCCATATTTTCTGCTCTTTTTGTTCCCCAATCTAGGTTTGGTACCAGCTTCAATATCAGAACCTCCTCCTTTTAAATGCCTTCTGATAAACAAAGTTGATGGCAGTTGCAAAACTTTCAATGATTCTGAACAGGAAGACCTTCAAGGATCTGGTGTGTGTCTGGATCCTGTCTATGATGTTATTTGGAGGCAAGTGTGGATTATAGCTATTTAAGTCATAGTGTAGAAGTAACTTAGAATAATTTGGAGGATCTGATCTGCTCATAATTTGATTATATTCACTTCTCTAGTAAAACAACTCTTAGTCTTTCGTGTGTATTTTTTCACATCTTTCAAGTGATTCTTTCAAGGAAGTCCCATCAAACTTCATTTCCCTGTGCATTTTTATTCATGCCTGTTGAATAGGGCAGTGCTTCTGGGCAAACAGAAATCTTGATTACGTATATTTTTAAAGATTTTCTCTATACCTCTATGGCTTTATCAGTCAGTTGCAAAATTCACATGGCTAAATTATTTCATATATATGTATGTATGTGTGTGTGTCTACTTAATAATATATAAACATAGACATTGCTAACTCATTGAAATCTTGCATATCTTGCTGGTATCTTAAAATATTTGTAGTTAATTATCCTATTTCTTTTTGGATTTTTAGTAGAGTATACCAAGTAAAAAAATCATTTCCTTTCCGTCAGAACACTAATAGGCTTGCATCTTCCCAGAGTCTCTTCCCGTTAGAAAGAGACATCAAAGACTTGATTCTTTTTTATTTTATTTTTCTGCACCTTGATCTATAATATAGACAGTTTCTGTGTTCTCTTGTTTATGCTACTGTTGTCTGTAATCCTTCTTAAAATGCTCACAATGCAGTGGAATCCATTTTAAAAGGCCAAATAAAACTTACAATTCTTCAGCACATCTGCCATTTTATCTGTTTGCTAGTCGCTTCCTGCTTCTTAATAGATTAGACACTTCAATATTTATTAGCTATGAAAAGTGTCTGACATTTTCTGAAATTTGTAAACCCATAATATATTTTTTTAACTTGAAATATAACAATATTTCTATATTGTTTTCCATCTGTTTCCATCTATATTTTTTTCCATCTGTTAGTGTTTTCCTCTAACTAAGCTTATATATTTGGCATAGTGATGTTCAATTTTAACATTTTGTACTAGCAAATCAACATTTTACATTAAATTTAATAGTTGGATACAAAGTTTATAGTTTATGAAATTTAAATATAAGTTATTTAAATTTTTTTTTTGGTCAGAGTTTTTCTTAAACAGCAAATGAAAGTTAGCTTACTCTGTTTTGTCTTGCTCTAGGTTTCGACCAAGCGCTAGGGAGCTGTGGAGCTACAACGCGGTAGTTGCCGATTCCAGACTTCCCTCCGCTCCGGACATGCAGTCCCGGTGCAGTATTTTGAGTCCCGAACTTGCTCTGCCGATAGGTTCCAAAGCTCTGACCACCAGATCTCATGCAGCTTTGCACATTCTAGGTATGCATTTATACTTGATGAGTCAGAAGCATGAATGAAGTCAAGGCACACTGCATCATGTTTAAATAAATTATAATGTGACAGCTTTCTGGCTTTTGAGTTAAAAATTGAATTGATAATCTATCCTCATTGCTATTAACACTCAAGCAGAATCATTGCTCTCTACCATCTTGGTGATTCTAGAGGCTCTTGGAGTTCTAGTTGGGACCTGCTTCTAGAGGTAAGCAGAAGTGAAGTTAATCATCTTCAATAGGATGCAGAGCATAGGAAATACTGCTCAATTTACCATGGAGTGTCCAAAACACAAAAAATACCTATCTCATATATTCACATTTTTACAAGTATAGGATAATTCAAATTCCTTTTGTGTAGTTTTGTATAATCAGATGTTAAGAGTACTTTGATTTCCATTTCTAGTCAAAAAGCATACTGAAATAAAAAACAGACTCACCATATCCATCTATAAACTGGCCGTATGTAACTTACTCAAGGCTTCAAAGCTCAGCTTTGGAAATTATTTGGGAACTTATTCCATGAGAGTGCGGAGGGATCACTTCCTTGTACTCTGTCCCCCACTATGTGTTAGAGAGGCAGCGATACTTAACTTAAACAGTACTTTTTGGTATCCAACTCAGAATAGAGGCTATGCTAGGTATCCATGTATATGAAACAAAATGCCTTGTATGAAGGTTCTCAAATCTGCTTGTAATTCAGTTGCTACTTCAGTTCTTTTTTGGCAATATAGGAAGCAAAAAATAGAGTATGTTGCTAGCAATTTATTTGCTGTTGAAAAATTCACAAAGTAGGTTTGATAATGTTTCTTGGTTAATCAGGAAGATGAATTGACTAAATAAAACTGGTCTTCAATAGCAAACCTTAGGTTCTACACAAGTGACCTAGTAAACTTAAAGTGATACTCAGCAGTGTACCTGTGGTTTAAGGACAAGGCAGTTTTGTTGCTGTGATCTTTTTTACTGCTACTCATTTTAAGTCACCAATTGTAGTGAACAGTAAGACATTTTGAGTGTTTCTTGATTTTGCTTTCTTTTAGGTTGTCTCGATACGTTGGCTGCTATGCAGGACTTAAAAATGGGTGTAGCAAATACGGAAGAAGAGACTCAAGCAGTAATGAAAGTTTATTCTAAAGAAGACTACAGCATTGTTAACAGATTTGAAAGTATGTACACAGTAAGGTTTTACTGCAATAGCTAATTAGGCTTGTGGAATAAAAGACTAATTAATATAGATTAACTGCATTTTTGTTGTGTTTTTGTTTTTTCTGTAGGTCACGGAGGAGGTTGGGGCTATTCAGCCCACTCGGTGGAAGCTATCCGTTTCTGTGCGGATACAGACATTTTGTTAGGTGGGCTTGGTCTTTTTGGAGGTAGGGGTGAATACACTGCGAAAATAAAGGTAAGATAGTTTTTAAAAAACAGAATTATCTCTCAAAATCAAAACTTCAGAAACACCATTTAAAACTGTAATTTTATTTCTTGATAAATGAGTTGTATAATTAAAGCAGTAATAGGAGAAGAATCTTGCTAGGATAATAGGAGAAGTAATGAGTCATATGTTGGTAAGGCGGGGGAGACAATGAACTGAGAATTACCGTTCTTACCTGTCCAGGACATCCCTAGGAGAAGAATCTTGCTAGGATAATAGAAGAAGTAATGAGTTATATGTTGGTAAGGTGGAGGAGACAACGAACTGAGAATTACCATTCTTACCTGTCCAGGATATCCGTACCTTCAGTAAATGCTGTGACATCTCAGGTGTCTTCGGACAGTGGGTGGAATTGTCTTGGGAGGTATTTTCATGAAAGTCTGTGAGGTCCCCCTGTAGAAAATGTAGATGTGGTGTGGTGGGCATCATCTACTGTGTTCAGGATACCTGTAGGACTGCCTCTCCAAAATGGGAAGGCATCCTTCTGTAGGGCATGTTCCTGAAGGAATTCCAGCTATCTTAGTTGTCTTTTCCTGCCATCCCTATCCCTTTTTTTCTCAGGTTGCTCTCTGCATAACTTCTCAGTTGTAATTCAACTGAGAGTGAATTGTAGGGTCACCACACGTGCTTAATTCTGCTTTATGCCAAACATAATGATAATGAAAATAAAGCACAGATGCTCTATTTTATATATATATATGTGTGTGTGTGTGTGTATATATAATCTGGCTTTGTATAGAAAAACACCTATAAACCCACATTGTGATTATGAGAGAAATCCGGTTTCTGATAAGTAACTTGTATTGCTGCATTTATTAAGGATTTCAGAAACTTTTCAACTTCCAGCTTCTTGGAAGACAGTGAAAAGGAACGAGTTAAAATCTGTATGAGATTTCTATTAAATGTGCAATGCAGAAAATGTTAATAACATTTTTGTCATGTAGATGGTTGCTGAAATCTTTCTGTTTTCAAATGAGTAAAATTACTGATTATTAAGGTTTCTTTTAGGGAAATTGATGGGATATGGACATTCGTCTAGGGAAAAAAATGGGTATCTTCTGAAATAAGTGGTTGTACCTACTGAGAATTATAAATGATTAAGAAAAACCCAGAGATTTAAAAAACATGACCAATATTTTATATGCTGTAAGAAGGGCATGATAGCCCCATCAAACACTCTAGTATGTTTTTTTTTCCTAGTTGTCTAGGCTTAGGTTATAGACAAGGATAATGCACACATACGCATATAACATATACACACACACACACAACATATATATACACTTACGTAAGTGGATATATATGTTATATGTGTGTATATATATGTGTGTGTGTAAATATGTATGTTATCCTTGTCTATAACCTGCTTTATATGTATATATGTATATATATACACACACACACACACACATATATACACATATATATATATAACATTTGCCAATTTTACCACAGATGCACTGGGTACGAAATAGAGGTTTAAAAGAAGTCACAGATATGTATCGTGGGCCTTTTTCAAACCTACCTGAGTGTAAAAACACTTTGTATTGTTTTCTCTCCTAGTCATCACCTGTTTGTGGCTTTCCTGGCTAGCTCTGCTAAGCAGTCAGACTGTCCCTGTTAGTTGGCTGTATTTCTAGTGTGTTTCAATCAGGGAGAGTCTTTACATTCTGTCTAACCTTAAGGCTTCATCCACTAGCTATGGGATCAAGCTCTGGTTTCCTCAGAGGCTTTCTTAGATAACTATAGAAGGTGTGTAAAAACAGCTGCTCAGGGAAATCCCTTGTCTCCTTCAGCTGCTCTATATTTGACTCACCAGCAAGATTAAGGGACTTCCTCCATTCAGCACCACAATATTTTGGGGGGCAAGGTTGGAAGGCCAGTGTTAACCATTATTTATGTAACAGAAAATGATATTACAGAATCCTGACCTCCAGGTGGAAATTTACCTGTCTAGCAAACCAGCCATCATTTTAGGGAAGAATAGCAATAGAAAATTAACAGAATCTCAGACAGAAAAAAAGTGATGTTATGAAGTTTCTAATGCCTAAGCCTTACTTTATTTATTTATTTATTTATTATTTTTAACTCCACTAGTTGTTTGAATTGGGTCCTGATGGGGGGGACCATGAGACTGATGGGGACCTTCTTGCTGAAACAGATGTCTTAGCATATGATTGTGCTGCTAGGTAAGACATTTTCATCATCTACTTTACTTATTCTCATTTTCTTCATGTAAAAATTATTTACCCAGGACTCTGTCCAGACGACTTTTGAAAATCTGCTTTTGAATATCTTAACAAACTCGCTGCCAACCGGATGCCACTTGTCTGCATGTGGCATAAAAGTTTTACTGAACCAAAATATATGAAAAAAATGATAGGTCACATACAAATCAAAGTCAAATCCTGTATTCATGTGAGGAGCAGACAAAGCAAAACATTTCAGCTCTTTTGCATAGTTCTGTCAAAAGGATGCTTTGAAAACAAATGTCTATTTGTGTGAAGCATCTCATCATTCAATTTATTAAAATTACAGCCTAAATTTCTGATAACTAACCAAACAAAAATGTTTTATTTTAACATATTATGGGTCTCAGAAAATAGAAGCAGTTATTGTTTGGACTGTTTTATGCGTCTGAAAAGGATCAGCCATGTTTTAGTGGCTTTCTGATTCCTTGTTGCTGGGAAGGAATTTCTTGATAAAGTCAGCCATGGCTAATTCTCTTAGGCTTAATCTGTAGGTATCATGACCACTAAATATATATTTTACTACTTTCCTAAATATTCATATGCAGTTCCTCAAAATTTGTATATAAACTCAACATTTAAAAAGAAATAACGTAGAATTTCTTGAAGTTGAAGCAAAAATTTACAGCAAAGTTTTACTTGAAGTAGTAATTGCAACTATAATCTGATTATCTGATACTGATTATCTAATTATACTGTGCTGTTATCTAATTGTTTGAAGTCCAGAAAAAAAGCAACAATGTGTATTTTAGCAAAGTATTTTTTTAATGTTGGATATCAATAGTATGTCTGAGAGATTGTTATCTTAATTCTCTTTAATTTTTTAATCTCTTAATATAAAATGTTCTTTTGTAAAGAGGATATAATGTGCCAAGTGTTTGTACATGAGCTAATTCAGTTGTATCTTTATCAAAATTTGCTCCTCAGAGAAAAGTATGCCATGATGTTTGATGAACCAGTTCTCTTACAAGCTGGTTGGTGGTACGTAGCCTGGGCAAGAGTGTCGGGGCCTAGCAGTGATTGTGGATCTCACGGACAGGCCTCTATTACTACAGATGATGGGTATGTGGGTTTTTTGGTATTTTTATATAAAATAAGATATTTGGTAATATTTGAATAATATTTATTTTTTTCTTTCTTCCTTTCTTTCAGTGTTGTCTTTCAGTTTAAAAGTTCCAAGAAATCAAATAATGGTACAGATGTTAATGCAGGGCAGATTCCGCAGTTACTCTACAGGTAATGTTTTGGCCTGCATATCGAGCAATTTATTGATAAGTCTTTTAAACAGAGGCCCTGTAAAAGTAAGCACATGTTTCATCACATCATTATCATAATTAGTTAAGGAAATTAGAATATGAAAAATGTGTGGGAAGCCTGAAGTGTCTTTGAGAACAGTGGTAAGTACAGTACACCAGAAGTTATTTCTCTGTGATTTTCTTCAAAAGGTCATTTTTCATATATGCAACTTAATTTAAACAAGATCTAAAGGTGTCACTTTGTTCTGTAGATGCCGATGTTTTTGACTAGCAAGCTTCATTTTTTGGCTAGTTCTAAAGTATTCTGTTTAGCAGGGCTCAGTTTAAGTGCAGCATACTATCAGATTTTCACAAATGATTTTAATGACAACCCCAAACAAATTGTGCCTCATAATTCATTACTGTGAATTTATTATTCCTATGGCAAATGTTATGTAATCTTATATAAAATAAGCAAGAACTCTTTCACTCTATTACCAGCATATTTTGAGATTAACTCAGCTACATATTAGATGATGCCATTTTTTCCTATACCTGTTCCAGTTCTGTGACTGTCCTCTTACCATGTCCTTGTCAGGGTGCAGCTGGGCTGGAATAAAAAGGATAAAGATGTGCTGCAACCTGTGTTTGCCTGCGGGAGGTGTGGACTCATTTTTTCCTCCATCAATAATGAGATAACACGCACAAAAAAAAAGATTTGGTTCTAGATGCTTGTTATGCACAAACATCTCACTGTAAAAAATGAACATGTGCCCTACACATACTAGTGAAGTAACTTTCCTAATCTTAAAAATGCCATTGGAAGACGTGCAGTATATACCTGTTCTATACGCGTACGCATTTAGATCTTGACCTAATTGAAGGCTGTAAGCTGAGCAGAAATGGAGATCATCGACGTTGGTTTCGAAGTACTGGGAACTGGAAGAAATTGTGCTAACATTGATCATTCCAGGATAATTCTGTTAAACTTTTCTTCCACTTATTTAACGACCAATTGAAGCAGTAAAGTTTTGTGCAGATTTTAAGTCTGTTCTTAAATTGCCCTTTCCAGACTGCCAACAAGCGATGGGAGTGCGTCCAAAGGCAAACAGCAGACCAGTGAACCTGTGCATATTCTAAAGAGATCTTTTGCTAGAACTGTCTCTGTAGTGAGTATTATCAAGTACCCTGTGTCTTTCCTGCTCACTCCTCTGTAATTACAATTTGAGATGTGCGTGTGGAAATAGCTAATAATTATTTTCTTGTGTATTTCAGCAAGCAGTGGCTAGGTACACTGATAAACGTGGTGTTACAACTTTCTTTCTTCTTCTGAAGAGTTCAGATATAAACTGCAGTCTAGCTAACTTTAATATTGTCCTGATTGTCCTGAGAGCCTAGAAGTGCATTTGTTTATAAAGTTTAATTTACTTCCCATGAATGACCTAATTGTTTGGGTTTTTTTTTGAATTTGTAGTTATTGGTTACATTCACTATACAAGCCTTACACTCCTCCAAGAAATTATATATTAACAATTCTCTGCAGTTTTGAGGGAGCTTCATCATATGCTCTCTTATGTGGCTTATGAAGTCCTCTAAGTGCTAATTAGTCATTGGTGATATTAATTTTCCTCTTGGATACATTCCAGTACGCATTAAGATTCAGATAGCATTTAATTAAACTTTGGTAAGCTGAGGTAAGGAGTATTAATAGGCACAGTATATGCAGGTATTAATAGAAGACATTTGCAATTGTGGAAATGCACCAGGAGCTTAGTCAGTTTTGAGGGAGAGAATACTGCGTTAAGTTGAAATGCAACATGCTAAGGCAGGGTAAGGCAAATTGATTTTTTTAAAAGTAAAATAATTTCTTGGTCAGTCACAAATTACACTTATTTCTTTTTCAGTTTTACCCTGTCCGTATCCTCAACTAATAGTCTACTTGAAATACAGATACCCATATAGATCCCATTGCCTAATTTCTTAACCAGCTGTTTTTCTTACTTACATTTTCCTTTTCTTTGATATTCCCTAATGATCAGGTTGAGCTTCTACTGTTAAGATTTCTTCTAGAAATGTATTTTCTATATGTCTTGCATTTTTAGTAACCATATCATTGCAGCCTACTAACAGATATATCTTTTTGCTTAAAGATGTTTGCCCTAAGCTGTCCTATGGCTTTAATGTTCTGCATTGTATCCTCCTCTTCCTGCTGTTATCCCTCCTCACCATAGATCTGAATTTGGGATAAGAGGAGAGATTTGACTTTCTGGAGACAGTTAGGCATTCTGGACATATTTATAAATAATTTTGAACAATCAGCTTTTCCCTGCAGTTTGAAGGTATTCAGTTCCAAATACTTGCCCTAGGTACCCAGATGCCTTCTGAGGTACAACTTTATGAAACTACTAAGCACATTTAATAACAGTGGAAGCAAATTTTTAGACAAACAAAACTCTGTAAACTGTTAAATTTCTTGTGAACCACCATGCACTTCTGTTGAAGCTTCAAGTACTGTAGGTGAGATAGTTGCATAGCCCTCCCAGGGCCTTGCACATCATACTATTTAAAACTAAAACAAACCCAGCCCTGGTAGAGTTCTTTACCATTATGGCAATAATGTGTTTTGTTAAAAGTAGGTCCTTCTTTATTTGTATGCAGATTCAGCAAGGGAAAATTACTGCAAATCTGTTATTACAGATGAATAGAAACAGTTGTTACTTCTCAATTGTTTTATAATTGAGAGACTTCCATGGACAAAGCATGATATGTATGATAATACATTATAAATTGATTTTATGAAGCAATGTAGTGCAGTATCTCCTGCATTCTCAGTTCTCTTACTTTCAAGCAAAAGGGTTTTCCTGTCATGTATGATAGATGTGTGTAGGTGTAAATATGTTTTCATGGAAAGCCTTTTGCTTTTCATCTTATCCTAATGTTGAAAGTTTTCCTGGGTTTGGGGTGCAAAATCTTCTTTCTGCATCCTTCACATTGTGAAACAGGAGTGCTTTGAATCTTTACTGAGCATTCTGCACTGGAGTTGGACCACGCTGGTGCTCGGGGTTGAAGAACTTCGTGGGCTGAAAGGATTCCAGTACACTGCTACCCTCTTGGATTTAGAAAGGCTGCGCTTTGTGGGCACTTGCTGTCTGAGGTTGCTGAGGGTCTACACCTGTGAAATATATCCCATATCAGGTATATTTTTTCATTCACTGGATTCATATTTATGAGCAAATAGTGGTATATGGGACGTGGAAAATTTGGTCTAAACATTCATGTTAACTGTGCTGTGGTGAAATTGCCTGCACACATTTCCATTTGAGCAGTTACTAATTTGCAGTAAAAAATGAGATGTTAACATTATGTACATAATCAAGCATGCAGCACTGCATGTATATTTTAAAATTAATTTATTCTTTGGCTATATAGTCACTTTCTTTTGGACTACTTTGTAGCTTGTGTTAACTCATTTTTGTAGATTGTGGCTGGTTTGCTAGGGGGCATGGTCTATTGACATTTGAAAGACAGTATCTGTTTTTCATTCCTGTAGTTTAACAATGTTTAGATTAAAATGCAGAATATATTATGAAAGACTGGAAATTCAGATTTCTAATACTCAGGTTTCTTTGATGTAGTTTAATTTTTACTTCCGTATTTTGCAATATTTTGCAGTGTGAAATTAACTTCTCTAAACGTAGATTCATCAACATTGCTAACTTCTGATTGCTCTGCTCACGTGTGTAATATGTGTACAGAAATGTTTAATTTTTTCTACAATCATGCACTACTTTTTCTTACCTTGTAGCTACAGCTAAGGCAGTTGTGGAAGAAACCAGCAAACTAGCGGATTGCATTGGAAAAACTAGGACTTTGCTGAGAAAAATCTTATCTGAAGGAGTTGATCACTGCATGGTGAAGTTGGATAATGACCCTCAAGGGTATCTCAGCCAGCCCCTGAGCCTTTTAGAAGCGTTTTTTTTACAATATTTTCACTGCTTGCTTCCATTCCTTCTATCCCACGCCAACTCTCCAGTGGGCATGCCTTTGTGACTTGCTGAATTGCTTGGATCAGGTACACTAAAATGCTGCAAGTGAATATTACAGCTTACTTTGTTGTTTTCTTCAAAGAAAAGGCCAAACAGTATTTCTTTTCTTTATTCCTGTTTTCGTTCGTTCTGTTTTGCCACTTGAATTCTTCCATGTTTCTTTTTAATCTCTATGAAAAAAAAACCATGTCCAAGTTCAAAAAGGACTAGGACCTTCTGTCTTTAAAACCCATTAAGCCTTTTAAAATTCAAGGAAGAATCAATCCTGTAACATATTATTCCATTTAAATTATTTAACAATTATAATAGAGTTTTGTCTTCAAAAAGTCTCATGATCCCAAAGTAATTTTAAGTGGCTTCATCATTTTAAACTGTATGTCCAAAAGCAAATTCTAATTGCTCAGATTCAAAAGATTTAAATGTAAGTTCTGAGTTTCATTGTGAGATAAAGTAAAATTCACAGAAGAGCTAACACTGTATAAAATTACTTATTTATATTATTTTATGATTACAATAAAATGGGAACGCTCTTTTCAAAAGTTGTTTTTCATTCCCAATGCTGCAAGAATTACATAAAAAGTTTTATTTTTTTAGTTCTGTGTCTGTTCTTCTGAAATTGTCTGAAAGTTGCTAGGAAAATGGAAGAGGGTAGCCAGCTTCGTGTGCAGGATTCAGGTATACACTCACTTCTTGGTTCTGCTGTGAACACAAGACTTGCAGAATGAAAGCATCTCTCTTTTATCCCGGAGTTCTGTGAAGATTCAGACATGAAGTATTTTAAGATACGCAGGTGTTAAAGGGAAGCGCTGCTTTAATACTGAGAATACACAGAAAATCCTAACATTTTAAAACATAACCAACTTTGAGCCTGCTGCTACCTCTTTGTGATGTGTTTTTTTTTGGATGGGCTCTTCACGGAGGGGGCTCTGCCCTTCCGTTCATTCCCTGTTCCCTTTCTAGGACATCCAGGAAGCCAACTTCAAGACGTCGAGCAGCCGGCTGCTCGCGGCGGTGATGTCGGCGCTGTGCCACACGTCGGTGAAGCTCACCTCCATCTTCCCCATCGCCTACGACGGGGAGGCGCTCCTGCGCTCCATGGTCAAGCAGGTCAGCACCGAGAACGACTCCGCGCTGGCCCACCGCTTCCCTCTGCTGGTGGCCCACATGGAAAAACTTAGTCAGGTGAGGATAATAGTCTAAAAATGGAACGAAGCCTTCAGTTTGGCAGCTGAACATGAGCAATTATGTAAATTGTAGTTTGGGCTTTTTAAGTTTGTAGCTGAATTTGCCCAGATGTTTCCTTCCAACTGGATTGTTTCAGAAATGTACACTTTTATCAAAACTTTATCTTTTAGTCTGAAAATTTTCAGTTATTCTTATATAGAGAATGTTTGAGCAAATATGATCATTACACCTTTTTCGAAATCATATAATAAGTATATTTTAGAGTTGTTCTTTTGTTGCCTCTTGTTGCCTATGTTTTCTTGACTCTTCAATTACCTGATGTTTATAAGAGGTGAAAAGCAAGTTGTCTTTTCTAAATTCTCTTTTTTCATATCACAGAGTGAAGAAAATGTTTCAGGGATGACAAGCTTTCGGGAAGTGCTGGAAAAGATGTTGGTCATTGTTGTTTTACCAGTGCGGAACAGCCTTAGGCGAGAAAATGAGCTTTTCTCTTCACACCTTGTTTCTAATACCTGTGGGTTACTGGCTAGTGTTGTCAGTGAGCTTACGGCGTCTGCACTGGGATCCGAGGTGAGGCTGCTGTAAAATCATTCTTAATAAAAGTCTTTCAGGGCATTTGTATTATTGATATGATATATGCGGTTACAGAGGTGTATAGATCTTTCCCAAATCTTGCTTCTTCTCTAGTAACTTTCTGATGTCTGGCATAGTTCTAAAAGCAAGTGTTCACTGTATTAGTGAAATGCTGCCCCCGATTAGCTACTTCATTACGGCAGTATTTCTTTTTGAGTGTTTTTTTTTTGAAGATTTCTTTAGAGGGTTTTTCTTTTTGCACATTTGTATAGGTGTTTATGTACTTGAAATACATTCTTTCAGTACACATTGGAGGCAGTTCCACGTTTCTGAACATCAGTGTGCCAATGATGGCATTGTGGGTGCCTTGTATGCTTTATTCTATCATGTTTTTGGTTTTGAGTCAGAATTTGTGATCTATTTTGTTCATGCATTGTGTAGCTCCCCCTTTTATATGTATAAATAGACATACATGTATTTGCATGCATACATATATGGAAATGTAAGAAATAATGAGACTTCAATAGAATTTTTCTTGTTTATCTGCTTTTCATCAGAAAATTGAGCGTCCTTTTGAGTTTAACTATGGTGTGTGGTTATGAAACTCTGGATTTTAAGATTCCCCTCTTACAGGATTGTAATATCTTTGAATGATAGAAATGTACATTCATTTTAACAAAGACACATCACTTTGGGTGTACTACCAGTAGATTTTTTGACAGAAAGGAACCAGTTTATGATAATCTCTCAATTAAAGATGGTTTCTGATGTATTTTTCCCCTCCTGATCATGGTTTTAGCAAAGGCATATGTATCTAACTCTTCTTTTTTAAACATGTTTAAGGTATCAGCTATGCTGATTCATCCTATTAAATGTATATTTAAAATATTTGAACATTTTGGAATTATACGAAATTATATTTCTTTTTATCTGAAGCTGGAAAGAAGTTCTAACAGTGGCATTTTTTATAATTTATTCTTTTTTGATTTACTGTGTTAAAAAAGTCAATTTAATTAACCTCGCTTTATTAAATGTTGCTTGTATCTCACTTCTACAGGTCGATGGACTGAATTCTCTCCATTCTGTCAAGTCCACCCCAAATCGCTTCACTAAAACAAGTCAGGGAAGAAGCTGGAATACTGGGAATGGATCCCCTGATGCAATATGTTTCTCTGTGGACAAACCTGGTGTAGTTGTAGTAGGATTTTCTGTTTATGGAGGAGGAGGAATTCATGAGTATGAGTTGGAAGTATTAGTTGATGATGTAAGTATTTTACCTGGGGAAAAAAAAAAAAAAAAAGGGAACCCAAGTAACCTCAGAGTTCTTCACAATATGTTTTATGGTATAATATGTATTGTTACACAGCCTCGCCTGCCAATACAACAGTGCATTAAGGGTTTCTTGGTTTGTTTTGGGGAGTGTTTTTTGTGATATTGCAAGTTACATACCTTGTCCACTGTATTCCTTATCATTGTTCATGCAAGAAAATGTAACGTATTTTGATTGAACGTGTCACTTATTTACATTACAAACCTATTAAAACGGCTTTTTTTTTTTCTTGAATCAGAGTGATCACACCGGAGACTCAACTCATTCTCATAGGTGGACATCTTTAGAGTTAGTTAAAGGAACTTACACCACAGATGATTCTCCCAGTGACATAGCTGAAATCAGACTTGACAAAGTTGTGCCACTGAAGGTAAATAAATGAAGTATACATGGCCAGGGGTTTCATATAACTTCTAAAGATACCAAAATTTAGAATATTACAAATGAATTATTTTCTCTTTACACATTTAAAAAAATGATCTTAAGACATTTACGTTATAAATTTTCTGTCACTCTGTAACTGAAAAGTGCAAATCTTGTCAGAAAAAGAAATTAAATCTTAATTTTTATAATAACATAGAATATATTATCCCTTGTTTAGTACTTTAAATATTCTCCAATGTGCAGAGTTTTAATATGCCATTTGGTAGCAAACTTTATTGTATAACTGGTCACTTTCCAAGTAATAAGTAATGTTTTACATAAATTATGCTTTGTAACTTGAGAGCAGCTTTAGGTAGTAATTTTTACTTTTGCGAAGTGCTAGTTCTTTTTCAATTAATTACATTTTTGAGTGCTTTGCAGCACTTTTTGCACTTTGAAGTATTCATGTAACATAATAATTACTTTCATGAACCTCGCCTGTCTATTTGTTCTATACCGTGTATTATTTTTGCCTCTCCTTCATGAGGAAAACGTGAAGTACGCAGTTCGGCTGAGGAACTACCGCCAACGGAGACGGAGGGATGACGACAGTTCAGTGTCCAGATGGGGTAACCTTCACGTTTAGCACATGCAGCCTGAGCAGTAACGGCACAAACCAAACACGAGGACAAATTCCCCAGATTCTTTATTACAGGTTTGTGAGCTGTCATGATCCATTTCCCAGAAGAGTGAATAAAACCACTTTAATATTGTACCACATCTATTTATGTCTGTAAAAAAGCATGTGGGTAAGGGGAGAGAGATTCTTTAGCAGCAGTATCTTGTTCTTTCAGTGATGTTTCAGTCTTAGGTTATTTTGTGAAGACAGTTTTGGGGCACCGGTTGCTCTCTGTCTCTTTCAGTCTTTTCCCATTCTCTTTTTTTTTTTAATTTGATGAATATTCTGGCAGTTCATCTCTCTTGTTATATTCATTATCACTCCAGCTTTTACATTGTAATATAGGAAATGGGTTAAATGAACTACTTCAATCTCTGTTTTTCCTATAACATGAGAGTTTTTTGAGGGAGAGGAGGAAAGGCTTTTCCTTTCTGAAACTAGTCCCTGGAAGCATTTTTCTCTCTGAGGACATCTGAATATAAGAATTACTTCCATTATCTGTTCAGCAAAGAAATGTTACACGCCTTTAAGAATCCATCAATTTCTGTGGTGAATAGCTCATCGTTGATAGATCTGAGAAATAAAAGCACGGAATCATAATTTATTTTGATTCCTAGTTATATGGAAAATGTATTCAGATTTATGTCATCCTATTAAAACAATAACAAAAGGCGAAGGTAAGTAGTGCTACAACAAAATGATGCATTTTGGACTAGGAGTTGTCACAAGCAGGTGGTAATCTTAACAACTTTGGAGGTGCTAAAATGGGAAGAAATAGTTGCCAGCAAAATTTTAGTAATAGTATATTGGAAGATACAAGGTAGTTGTGAACTATATTTTAAAAATCAGATTTGCCGTACTTGAAGACAAAGATTCAGCATGTCAGTAATGAACAGTAAGTTGATCAGCAGGGCTTGTAAAAACCACACTTGTACTTTAAGGCTTTTCAAATACAAGCAGAGTTGATCTGACAGTTGTTGCTTATACAAATGCCAAGAAAGACCATGTCAAAAGAAGTGTGTTAATATGCTTTTGATAGGGAGAGAAATGCATTGGAAGGATTTGTTAAAACTGTACTGCTGAGTTGTCTCCCAGCGAGTAATAAATTTAAATTAAAAAGGCTTTCGCCTGCCAGCAAAGTTACAGTTGTAGCACACAGTAACAAAAAAAAAAAAAAAAGAAAAAAAGGATTGCACAAGTGCTCTCATCATTTCATCAGTTACTCCTATTAAAGTGTCAGTGTTTTGGAGAAATGAAAAGTTCTATCTTAGAAACTGCAGGACTGTGCATTAAATGATTGTTGGAAAGTATTTCTAGCCTTTCATGGCATTTGGAAGATTTGTACCCGAGGGTGACCTCAGTTGCTAAATGTCCTGTCTGTTTTTCTTCACAGTAGCTTAGTGCTCAGATGTGTTTCATCTCTTCCAAAGTTTAAGTAACAAAAGTTGTGACTCAGCTTGTGATCGAGGACAGTTTCTGGATTTATTAAATCCAGAAAAATATGTTTTGTTTCATCAATTGTTTCATTGGAGGAGATCTTCATCCTAAACAGTCTTGTTAAACCATCATTCAAGCTGTTCTAAAGAGCTATTCGTATTCTCATTTCCTTAGGATAACAAAGATAAGGGCTCTGACGCAGCTAGATAAACCGGCAGGTTTCTCAGGCTTTTCCTCTGGGAAGCATAACTACTGGGTCTCATGAAAAGAAGTACTTGACATTGCAGAGCAAATTTGACTTGAGAGTCTGTATTTTGTTGAATGCTGTTATAGTTCGCTCATCTCGTGCCCAAAGTAAAGGAAGGAATGTTGTACTGTTTTAGAGTATGTGAACCCTGCCAGCTGAGAGAAACTTTTCTCTATTTGAAGAAATTCTAAAATGAGACAGTAATCAAATCCTCTTTCCAAAGAGAGATACTACAATATTAGGGAAAGAAATCCATAGATATATAAATATTTATAAGAATGCTTAATTTAATTCATAGAGAAGGATAAGCATATTTGCTGTACATTTCATTTGGTTGCATGAGGTTTAAATGTAAGAAATCCAAATGAGAATTGGAAACTTGCTTCACCTGTGACTGAGTGACTTAAGTTGTCTATGCCAAAGACAGATCACTTATCATGGATTGGGGCTTGGATTAGTTAAAAGTTATTTCTGGAGTGTTTTGACTCAAAAATATCACTTATATGTCTCAAGTGAGTAGTTTTGTTTATCAACTCCATAAGTTGGTTAGGGGAAACTACTTTCAAGGAGAAATCTCTGCATTAAGGTTAGCTCAATGTTGTATTTCTAAAGCAAAATAAATCTAGAATCTAGAATAAGGAGGATCTCGTAGAGAGAAAGGAGAAGACTCGTAGAAGGTCTTCTACGAGTTATGTAACTGCAGAAACTGGAAGAGTATTATTGCTTATAACTGCTATTGGAAGAGTATTAATGGTTTCTTGTTGTTCTATCATAAATGAATTATTTTAACTGTTATATGCTAAAAATCAATCAGTCATTTTTTTTATGTTAATATTGTGCTTTGTGAGCTTACTCTAACTTAATCCACCACCCAGGAGTGAGTATGATGGAGATCTACAGTCACAGCTTTTGAGCAAAGCTAATGAAGAAGATAAAAATTGTAGCAGAGCTCTCTCCGTTGTGAGCGCTGTTGTCCGAGCGGCCAAAGACCTCCTGCACAGGGCTCTCGCTGTGGATGGTAAGACCTTCCAAAACTGAAGCTTAGTTTCTTTCTTTGATAGTAGGAGTTGAAAGTAGGATTTCAGTCTTTCAATAGTTGTAATAATATTTTCTTCTGCCCTCCCAAGAATATTTTTCTAACTGATCTTTGCTGTAGTTATCAAACTGTGAGCAATCCTGCACTTGAGATATCTCAGACAGATGTCTCATCTAAAGCTACTCTTCAATTTAGCTATCATAGTATCAAAGCTGGTAATGTTCTGTAAGCCAGAAACTGTGCTGGTGGGTCAGTTCCAAATCTTACTGAATAATTTGTACAGTGGTGGAGATTAGGGAAACTGGTGAAAATAAAGCATTAATAAGCACTTAAACATCTACTTTTGAGAAATGTAGACATCAAACGTGGTTTGATTTTTGAGCCACTCTGCCTTTATGGTGAAAGTAATTTAAAGTAAAAAGTGGAAGTAGAGCTCATGAAAAGCACATCAGAAAAATAAGTTGTGTTCTGAACTGCGATGCATTTATGCTACAGAATATTATAATACCTGTGTTATAATTATCTTCATTTAGCTGAAGACATTCCAGAACTGCTCAGCTCTTCCAGTCTGTTTTCCATGCTGCTTCCCCTCATAATAGCCTACATAGGACCAGTTGCGGCGGCTATTCCCAAGGTATGTTCCTCAATAGAAATTACTGAACAAAGTTAAGAATATTTTATAAGAAAAAGGTGTAGGCTGAGACTATGAAAATGTGAACTTTTTTGCACATTGATAAGTTATTTATATCTGACCACTGGACTCTGTATGAATTTTCCAAGAGTCAAAAATTTTCAAAACATGGGAAGTCATGTGTTTTTTTTACTTACTTTGAAGACATTGTGAAAAGATGCCTTAAGGAAGCAGAGAAGAAGAAAAATGGCTTTGACAGCAAGAAGAGCCAGAAAACTTAGAGGGGTCTGGGTTTATTAGCTATTTATTGATGATTTTCAGAGGCATAGGATGTCCTTTATTATTTATTTATAAAATTTCTATTTATAGAATGAACATCTAAAGCACTGGTAGTCACTCATTAAACAATAATTATGTCTACCAAATTTAGAAATGGGAATATGGCAAAATATAAGTAAAAACAGCCTCACTTTTCAGTGGCAGAGCATGCTTGCATGTGTTTGCCCTGGAACAGTCTTTGGAATATCTCTAAATTAATGCTTTGTAAAAATACCTAACATCAATTTCAATCGAATTAATATGCAATATAGCATAGGGAACCTTACCAGTCTGAAGTCATGGGCTTAAATCTGTGAACAGATTTACAAATGTTCCTAATCCATAGCTGATAGACAGTATTTTATTGCTTTTTCATGAATTATCTCTCTCTCCAGTAGCTATCAACTCTCTGAACTATAAGTTCTCTTTAAGGGAGAAGGAAGGAGGACTGGCAGCTTAAAATCTAGTGCATTCATTTTATTAAGAAGAATTTCAAGTTACTTTGTTACCATGATGAATCCTAGGTCAAGAGCCCTTCTGCTCTGAGAAAACAATAAAAAATGACAGGGAGAGTGTGTTTATTTTGTACAGTGTAGAGATACATAAGCTGAATATTTGAAAAATAACTTTTGATAAAACAGTGTAATTGAATGATTGCTAGCTATATGCCTTCAATACAACATTTGTCTTTCTTAGCAAATGTTTTGCTGTTAATGGCTTTTCGGTTGTTTAGATGGTGTTTTAATGAATGCATGTTTGCAAACTCAGATTTTTCTTCCATTTTTTGTTAAGTCTCTAAGATGGGTATTTGGCTGAGATGAATGTAGTGGTGCTCTTCCTGTAAGGCTTGAATAGATTCAGAACTGCAAAATAGGGCTGAATCAATTGTATGATAGTGATATAGAGAATATCAAAAGAAAAAAAAAAGCATTGTAGCTGGATGTAGACGAGTGAGCAGTGTTTTTACCCAATCTCCAGTAAAACTTTTTTGTACATTGTGTTACACAGGTTGCTGTTGAAGTCTTTGGCCTAGTACAACAGTTACTTCCTTCCGTGGCAGTATTGAATCAGAAATATGCCCCTCCAGCCTTTAACCCAAATCAGTCCACGGACAGCACCACAGGAAACCAGCCAGAACAAGGCCTTTCAGCTTGCACTACCTCTAACCACTACGCCGTCGTGGAGAGCGAGCATCCCTATAAACCAGCCTGTGTCACACACTATAAGGTAAGCCCCAACTCTACATTTGCATGCAGGTTCCTAAATTCTTGCGATATGTGTTTTTGGTTTTGTGAAAATGGACTAGGTGAAAATTTGTTGCCAAGGGTGGGACGCATACTGTCTAATTTAGGAGACTGCATTTCCTCTGTTGATATTGCACTGCTCTCGGCAGAAACCTGTTCTTTGGTAGGTAAAGAGGAAGCCTGTAGGTTTAGACCCCAATGGCAGAAACTAATGTAAGCATCTTCATTTGCTCAGTGTTAGATTTTACTACTCTGTCATGCACAGATTCTTTGCTCTGACTGCACAGATTTTGCACATAGTTCTCTCTCACTGGGTATGTGCATCTGTGAGGTTTGACATTATTGATTTTAGACCACTAATAAAATACTTGTTGGTATATCATTCAATTTTTAATCTAGATCAGTATTTGATATGCCATTCTTAATACATAAGTCTTTTTACTGGTAGTCTTCTTTAAAGATGTAGATCATTTGTAGACTCTTCTCAAACTTACCTAAGATTTATTTTTAAAAGCATAAATTATTTCTTGCTAGGAATCAAAATAAGCAAACTGTGTAAATGTGGAGTCCCAAAGTTTCTGGTTGAAATGGCTTGCCTGGAAGCTCTTTCGAAGCTCCTGTTTCTGAATTTAGAAGTTTGGTGTCTTTATGTAGACCTTATGTAATCGTATCGCAGACATTCTTACCTAATGCTAAAATGATTCTTTGTAAAAATACCTAGCATCAATTTCAGTCAAAATGCTGTGCATTGTAGCATAGTATAGTGTTGTGTATTCTGTTTACTTAAGTTCTTTGTGATTTAACTTGGACTGTGGTTTGTGATCGCACGAGACTGAAGTCCTCTTTAAGTGGAATGGGATTGATTGACTCAAAATAAAATTTTATTTTCCTGAAGGCTGATTTTGTCTACTCGAATTAACAGCCAAGGTGTAAATGACACGCCTGATATGAATCCCCCCTGAGTTCTTTAGTGACACTGATTCCAAAACAATAAATACAAAGGCTGCAAGTCTAGAATAAAGTAAGGCCAGCAGTCATTAATTTTTAATATGCTTGAGCTGAGAAAACAAGATGTCTATTGTAGAAAATGTAGTTATCATTGAAGCTTCTTGAAGTGGTAATGCTTATTACCGTTATAATAAAGTTTGTGGAGCCTGTGTGAAGTGTTAGTCTCAGATGCTGCTACTTTTGAAATTCTGTAGCTATCTGCTGTCATGCTGCAGGCGGTGTTCATGAGGGTGCTTCAACTGCTTTGCACTTTTCCGGTTGTTTAGTTTAATGCTTCTTTATTTAGAAATAAAAACGGTCACAAATGGAATCATAAATTCAAGCATCTAATCTGGCCATAGTGACCATAGCTTGTCATACATGACTACAATATAGGTAAGTTTAAAGCATTTCAGATGTATCAGGACTTCAAAGAATAATCTTGAAAAATTGATTAATGTTCATGAAAACATATCAAAACTACTATAGAGAATAGAAAATTCACAACCTGAAATGTTTAAATGGAAAAAAAAATAGGAAAAAGAAAATGTGCAACCAAATGTACAAAATCCACCTAAACATAATTGATTTGGGATTACTGCTTTGTTTTAGGTGACTTTTCCTGAATGTGTCAGGTGGATAACAATAGAGTTTGACACTCAGTGTGGCACTGCTCAGTCAGAAGATGTTCTTCGTCTACTGATTCCTGTCAGAATTGCACAGAGCCTAGGATTTGGACCAAAGCATGGTTCTGTTCATGAAAACCTTAATTCATGGATAGAGCTGAAAAAATTCTCTGGATCTTCAGGATGGCCCACTATGGTATTAGTATTGCCAGGTAATAAATATGTATTGCTATAATTTCCAGTAATGCGACTAGTTAAAATAATGAGGCAAATAAAAAGAGTTATTAAAATAATGAAAACTGAAAAAGAAGTCTGATTTTTTTCTGCAAATGGAAAATTTGATTGCAGAAATTTTTAGTTGTCATAGAAAACAATTGCGAAAGTCTCAGTCCAAGCTGGCAAAAGTTTATAATGAGCCATTATTTGCAAATCAATGAAGTACCTTGATATTAGGGATTTTTTTTTGGAGGTCATTTTGTGTATTGCTCAAGATCTTCTGTGTGCTACATATGAAGCCTGGAGGTTTCATGTTTGTTTATGTAGTAGAAACGTGCAAAATAGTATAAATGTTGAAAGTTCCTGTTTATTTATTTGATGTGTTCTCTTGCTTCCTATAAGGAAATGAAGCACTTTTTTCTCTGGAGACTGCATCAGACTATGTGAAAGATGAAAAGGCTTGTTTCTATGGTTTCAAATGTTATGCCATTGGATATGAATTTAGTCCAGGATCTGATGAGGTATGAAAAAAGTGGGATGGCTGTAATGGCACCTGTTTGATTCCCTTGTCTAAGACCAAGCTTTTTTGGAAAGTGAATTTTATTTCCACTTCTGACTGAATAACATTTTAAAATGATTTTCATGAAACTTCTAAACATTTGTTTAACAGATGCTATTTGTTTATAATGTTTAAATCTGAATATATGTTTGTTTATATGAAGGAATATATATGAATATATGTTTGTATATAGATATATATACATATGTGTATATATATGTGTGTGTGTATATATGTGTGTGTATATATGTGTGTGTATATATATATACACATACATATATATATAAACTGTGACAATCTACAAATGTGTAGCACTGTAGTTTTATCTATTACATTATTGGGATATGATATTTCTTAAAATTCTGACATAGTCTTTTATTCTAAATCCAAAGAATTGGTGATTTCATGTTCACAATGATTCATATTTCACTGTCACCGCTAAGAATGTGATGACAGTTTTTTGTGAACTTGGGGGAATGTTTTGTCTCAACTATTTTGATACAAAGCATTGTGATAACTTGAAAAAGATAGCGAGACCCTTGTCTTGGGAGCGTTAAGTTTGTGGCCTCATGTGAACTTCACAAGTTTTGCATCTTGTTTACACTGCACCTGTCACAAAAGATTTACCTCATCTTATTCATGCAATCTGCTCAGGCTTGATCACATCATCAAGTTCTCAAAGCATGCGATTCTGCAAAATTTCATAATGAGTCTGATGTGGATCAGAAGATATTTCATAAGATTATTGGCTATGATTATCCCATTGGCTTGAAGTAAATCACATTTATAGATAACACAGATAATCTAATTAGTCTAATATTGGGTAATCTTTGGTTAATGCTGTATTACTTTTGATGGCTGCAGTTGTTGGCCGATTAGATATGTGTTACTGGCAAGAACTGCGTTCCTGTGTGGGAACTCTTAACTAATGAGCAGGCAACAAGGCAGATCAGGAAGAAGAGAAAGTTGATCTTTGCTGCACCGGCTTTTATTTGTCTTACACACTTATTCACATCCTTCACATCAACTAAACCCCAGTGCCAGGACAGAGGGAGTGGGGGCAGTAAGTCAGTAAAGAGCGTGAAAGAAGGAATAGCTCTTCAGCTACCAGTACTGATAATAGCCTAGCATGTGTTTGACAGAGCCAATAGAGCAAGTGCCATTATTGTTATTATTTTTTTAACTGTGGTGCCAGGCGGTAATAGGAGTTCTCAGGAAGCACAGAAGTGGCCAGTGGCCACAGTGTCCAGAGAATTTTTGCTTAGGAGGAATCAACCTAATAACACTTCGTTGAGATAAAACAATGAATGTTCATCTTTCGGTGCTAGTGAGTGCCATTTTTACTGAGAGATTTTAGGCTCAAGAGCGACTAAAGACACTCAAGATTGTCAAGAGTCTAACAACAGACTGCAAAGAAATTCTACAAATAGAAAAAGAAGTGTCATATGGTTTAAGCTGCTTTGCATGTCAGATCTGAAGCCCCCACAGAAGCCGCATAACAGCAATATCTGTTCTTTTTAATCATGTTTAAGGCAAGGTCTTTGTTCCCTTTAAAGGTTCTACGTTATCTACCAGTATGGTCTAAGTCTTTTCCCTTAATGAGTAGTTGCAATACTCCATTTTTGGAGTATGAGCTTAACTTTAAAGGAGTTTAAATGAAGTGATTGGACACACCACATAAGTTTCTCATTCAATTTTCCAAAGTGTTACACGATCAGAAAAGGACTATAAGTTCTGGTGACTGCTCTGTTTACTCTAGCTTGAAAGAAAAAAATATCAGCAAGACCCAGTTCAGGTCAGTGCACTTCATTTCTGCCCATCTCGTTTTCCACTTTTAAAGGACAAGTTCCCAGCACCTTTGTCTAACTAGAGTGTTGTAAGCGGTAGGCTTTCTTATACAAGTGTCTGGGAAAAGTGAAGGATACTGTTGAGTGTGAGCAAGTGCATCAAGAAATCAATATATAGAGGTAGCGGAGTGATTAAACTTTGTGTAAATGGCAGATTTTTGCAAAATTTTACTTTGATCTTTGCTTCGATAAATGAAAATGAAAACTTTCTGTATAGTCATTATGAAAACTACAAAATATATGCAAAAACCACCACCTTTTCTTCTGCATACGGAGGCCGGTTACCTTAGCAGTACTATCAGTATTGACTTAGAGGGTGAACACAAAGCAGAGAACTGTCAGGGGTGTTGGTCCACATTTAACTTATTTTAATTGCTTGTTCTTTCTGAACTTGCAGTTTGAGTCCTAAAGATACAGTTTGTCAAGAATTGGATCTAAAATACATCTTGGAATTATTTCCAATTCTCAGTAGTCTTGGAGAATACCAGGCATATCTAGAGTTGATTTGAAGCTCTTTCCACAAAGAAGATTTTACCTTTACATTATATATTGCCAGTCTCTGAAGATCTATCTGGAAAGTCCATCAGATTAATGTTTTCCATGTCTTCGACTTTTTTTTTCTTCTCTGTAGGAGTAACCTGCCTTAGGTTTCTTTGGAAGTGCTGAACCTTGCACAGTGTTCTTTAAAACTTAAAAGAGGTCAAGAACATCTTTCTTTGTGAGCAAAGCTGAAGAGGCTGCGCATGCCTGCAGTTCTTACAAGTTGAAGGGAACACATCAAATAGTGGCTCTGTGGCTAGAAAGTAGCTGCAGCCTCCCTAGCAATACTGCTCTCTTCCCCTTTCTGCCTTACCTCCCTGTGCTTGAAAAGTGTCCATGTGGCCTGAGGCAAATGGAATAGGGGCAGCTGTTCCCCCTATGGAATCCTTTTCCCATCCTTGTCTCTCCAGCTAGAGAGAGGAGGAGGAAAACAAAGTTTTAAACATCATTACCTTTAAGCAAAACAGAAAAGGGACCTTGCATGGTACCTTTGTACAGCTTTGGAGAGGTATTGCTTTGCAATCTTAATATGTATCAGTGGGTTTTGCAGTAGGAAGTTCCTTTTCTCTTTAACATTAGAGACTAAAGACAGCACCTTCCTATGATAGCAGGCTACCAGAAGCCATGTAACCTGTTTAATAATGCTCCTACCTAGTTGAAAATGTTCTGATTTTCTTCTGCATCCTCATCCACATCACATTTAGCATGTGTGTCACAGTGTAAATATAAAGCAAGGAGAATATTGATGAAAAACTTCAATACAACTTTAGTCTCACTTAGGATAAAGTAATGTCAGGGAAACCTGTTCATACAATTGTGTTCTCTGAAATAATATGTTTAATTAGTTTATTTAAATTTGAAGGGTATTATTCAACTGGAGAAAGAACTGGCCAATTTAGGAGGATCATGTGCAGCAGCTTTGATGAAGAAAGATCTAGCACTTCCAATTGGTAAGTCCTTTTCTAAGAACATGGTTTATTATTTCATCGTTAACTCAGCTTTGTTGAATGAATAAAACTTTTCAATCTTAATGATGCTGTAACTTACAGATGATTGTGTAAAATTTATTCTTAATACTTAATTAGCAGAGATATTGGCATTGTTTACACTGTTCCCTTCTTGCATCTGTGGGAAAGAGAGAAAGCTGGTCATTTAAATCTGAATCTACTCACCCCATCCACAGGTAGTTTATCAGTGTACAAGCCATATCCTACAGCTTCCTGATGGTACTTCACAAGTGAGGTATCTTCCTTGTATTTCTCTCTCACTGTTTTTTCCTCCCTGCACCCTACACCTTTAGAATGAAAAATACCTGCAGTGTTGAATTGCAAACTGGAAAATCGTATTTTTAATACTGAGAGTGATCAGTGTATCTCTACAGCTCACAGACTAAAATATTTCTGCTGCTTTTTTGTACAGTTATCAAAATATTGGAAACTTTTACAGCAAATGCAGAATATACATGTTTAGAGTAAACAAATGTAATCTAAGATGCAAGGAAAAGTGAGAGTTTAGCAAAAATGAATGGATATGGAAACTGAATTAGAACTTTTAACAAGACAGCCAAATTCTGTTTAATAGGACTTATACCAATAAGCATTAGTGTAATTAGATTTTAATTTACGATTGCAAACAGGAGCTCAAATATTGTCAATGAAAGCGGAAGAAAAAGGTGCACATTACTGAGCAGGAAGGTATTGGTCAGTGTGCAGCTCCTGCCACAAAACTTCATTTGAAATTTTTTAACCTGGTATTTTTCTTGTATATTTGAATGTGCTGATCTCTTACTTTATGTTGTAAGTAGGCACCTTAATTGCACTTGTAAATCTGTATTTCGCTCTCAAAAGTACAGGCAATTCTGTAGTTTAAATAGAGTGCCTTCTTCTGTTGTCCTTCCAACAATAGCTACATTAATTTCTCAGTTTTGTTGCTATCCCTAGCACCACTTACCTTGTTCTCTTTTTCTAGGCAAAAAAAAAAACCCAAAATTTAAATGCTCCTAACTTCCTCTCATTTTCTATATTTTCTAATGCATCATTCTCCTTTCAAAAGAGGGTTTGGTCTGATTTGATTTAAAATTAATTTTAAAAGGGAATGTTTGCAATAAGAGAGGAAAGCATGTGGTACCTAGGTTTGCTTATCTGTTTTCAGATAGAGGGAATTTCAAATGAAAAATGTGCAGCTAAGTTTCTTACGCAGCCTCAGCAAAGCTGTAAAAGAGGTTGCCAGTGAACTACAGTAGAGCAAGGATGGGTTCATGGACTGTAAAGGGTTTCCTCATTCCAGAGGTAATTCGATTGATGCATCAGACCATTTACCTACTCCAGCGCTTCAGCGAAGCCTGTTAGTGTTGCTCTTGGTGTTACAAGCCCAGTGACAGGAAGGCATGAGCACACAGTGCTTCTCTGCAAGACTTTTGGACCCTATGAAGGAGCAAGCCCGGTGAGCTGTACACAGGAGTTAGGCAGTGTTTGCCTTTTGTGATGGAAACCACAGTGCAATGTTTTGCCTGATGTCTGGCACACGAAGTAGTGGGAAGGAAAGGGATGAAATCTGGTTTTCTAGAGCCTCATTTTAGTGCCAGACTTCTTCTAATTCCAGATTATTTCTCTTCTATGTTTGCTGGCAGTGAAACGATGTCCTGAGGAATAGTGTGCATTGCATATCCCAGGCATTGCTTAGCTGTAGTGGTTCATATTTATAGTGCGTCATTTTATTCGGTCAATAAAATGATCTGTTAAGGGAAAACCTGTGTAATCATATAAAAGACTGCCTTCTTATACGTATATACAAAAGGCTTTTGGTATTAGACTTTTCAAACTTTTATATGCTTTGTTTTGTAATTTTTGTAATTTTACCTTGGTTTCTTGTGTGGGTGTGAAGATTCTTCACTTGTGATGCCTGAACTTTGGCATTTAAAAGTTAGGGTCTGTGTCTAACCTAGAAACTTCAACCTTCTTCTTTTCTGTCTCTTTTGAAGTTAAGGTAGACATCTTCAGAGGATAGGTCATTTCATCCTCAAATGAACATCTAAGAAAAAATGAAACGAATCACCCAAAGGTATCCCTAGGGAGGACCTATAGCTCCTCCAATTCCTATAAAGATGAGGTATAATGTCAAAGTCCAGGCTCATTAGTTCATGCTTTGCTACCCCAAGGAAGGTGAATTAAATCCTCCTGCATTTCCCAGATAATATTTAGACATCCAGATCCAGTTAAGTGCTCTTAAAACATAGAGATTTTAAAGAAGCAACTTGATGAATGTCAAGACATAATTAATTTAAGAAAGGAAGAAGTACAGTAGTAGATGATACTTTTCATGGGATCATAGAATCATAGAACGTTTAAGGTTGGAAAGGACCTCTAGAGGTCATCTAGTCCAACCCCCCTGCACACGCAGGGTCACCTAGAGGACGCGGCACAGGACTGCATCCAAGCGGATTTGGAAGATCTCCAGAGAAGGAGACTCCACAACCTCTCTGGGCAGCCTGTTCCAGTGCTCTGTCACCCTCACTGTTAAGAAATTTTTCCTTAAGTTCCTGTGGAACTTCTGGTGCTTCAGTTTCTGGCTGTTTCCTCTAGTTCTGTCAGTGGCCACCACTGAAAAGAGGCCAGCACCATCCTCCTCACTGCCTCCCTTGAGGTACTTATAGACACTGATCAGGTTCCCTCTCAGCCTTCTCTTCTCCAGGCTGAACAGGCCCAGCTCCCTCAGCCTCGACCTGCTGGAGACACTCTTCTTAACGTACCCCAGGATCCCATTGGCTTTCTTAGATAGTCTAGGAAGGTTGTGCAGAGGGCATGATGGAGTGAAAAAAGACTTGTCTGGATACTTTCTATCATGAAAATTTTCCAAAATGCCTGTATTGACTTCAAATCACAGTTGTTAAGTTTGTACTGGCATCCTTGCAGATCCTCTTGTCTTTAGTACTATTTGCATGATTACATCATGGTGTATTTGATTTAAAGGAGATTGTCCTTTGCAAAACCATTCTGTATTTTTTTATTAATTTTCATGGTGAGTATATTCTGTGTACATGTAGACCAGTACTTGATCAAGTGTTCCTCCAGAGCTATTGGAGGGGGAAAAAAAGTAAGGGCACCAAGAAGGCATCAGCGTTTGTGCTCTGGAGGAAGATGCACTGGGCTGTGTTTCTTCTTGCATTAGGAAAACGTCATCTGTGAGAGTGCACCAAATATTATTTGAATTAGCACCTTCTATAGGTCACCTTTTCTCCTGGCTAGCGTTCCAAGACTTTTAAGACATTTGTTCTAGTGAGAGATCTGATCTGTTCTTCTGATCTGACTTGAACAACAGTATGGAAATGATTGATATATTTAAAATTGTTACATATTTGCTCATTTCACTCCATAATAGCTAATTCTGATAGCAGACTTTTTACTATAATTTTTATTTCTTTCAATTTTTAAAAATGCATTAAGACTTTTTTCTTTAGAGTTATTTTTCTTTTTGCTAGAAGAAATTGCCTTGTAGAATTGCCTGAGATGTTTTTGAGAGAGAGTAGAAATATGGTAACTACTTGATTTTTTTTTTTTATGTTAAAGACTGTGTTTGGCAACTCTGACCACTGTGGAATCAGAATTTTGGGTTGCATTTGTGAGGAGCAAATGTTGTATAAGAGAGTATATTTGAGATTTGTATTTTCGAAAGAATCACAACCTTGTAAATTTTACCAGATTTTCAAATAATATTGTCAGAGTACATCCTTATAAGGAAGCAGCTTGTGCTTAGTTCATACCTTCTGCTGCTGGATTTCCTTCCTGGAAATCATATTACCTTGCCGAAATCTTCCTCTGAAAGTCTCTCATTGCATCCAAAGATTTGCCATACATACTGTCTTGGACATAAGAAGATAAGGACCAAATTTTTGTTCTCTGTAAATTACATTACTTATTAGCTTGTTCACTCAATGACACAATACTGCATGTTTACTCTGTTACTTGAAAATGCTAACTATTCATTAAACAATATTGCAATAATCTTTGAATTGCTGAGTAAAGTGTTGTCCATCATCTTACAAATGTAAACTTTGTGATATAAACGGCTTTACCAAACAGAATTGAATTTTGCATTCTCTAATAAGTAGATAAATGTTGGTATGTTTATGAAAAACGTGTTTATATTTTTATAGCAGGTAATGAATTTGAAGAAGATCTTGAGATTCTTGAAGAGGCTGCTTTACAGGTATAATTTTGCTTCTTTTTTGCTGCAGTGTATTTCACTACATACTTTTGACAGCTATGGAGGAAAATTACTTGAAAGATTTTCATTACAGGAGGGAATCTAATTCGCTTTAAAACTATTTTAAAATGTTAGTGAGCTGGTAGTATTTATTAACAGATGTAATTTAAGAATTTTGCCCTAAATTTTCAGAGCTAGTGGCTGATAATTTTTTAATCTCTGTCTTTCTCTTTCTGATTCTGACTAAAAATATTAACTTTTTAAATTGGAGAGCTGCTTATTTTGTCAAAGCTTGCCATTTAATCTGCTACTTGTGACAAAAATAACTAATCATTTATAAAAATGTAACTTCTGCTTAGCTAAAAAAGAATTGTTATTAAACTGATATCACTGCCTCTTTTTGTAGGCAAGGTAAGAGGGAATATTTGTAGCTATCCTTTCCCAGGTCTTTTTAGCTCATTTTGTTCATATCACACAGTAATTGGGTCTTTGCAGAAGATAGAATGGAGATGAAATGTTGTCTGAAGTGTAGGATTTTGATCCTGAGGGACATACAGAAGATTTTTAGTCATAAATTTAAAAATGAAAGTTTCGGTACTGGAAATCTACCTAGTTTTTTGGTTTTTGATTTTTGTTTAACTTCCATGAAATTTATACGCTCTTCTAGTCTTCTATACTGGAATGGTTTCCAATCTCCCAAACATCTTTGCCAATATTGTTATATTATGGCAAAGCATCTATGTACAAGATTCTTTCATTCCCTTCCTTTCCCATTCCCACCATCCTCCCCAAAAGGTGTGCAAATCTCACTCTGGCATCCTTGGTAAAGGCTTGGCACTGTCTCACTCCCCTACTATCCTGGAAGCCCTTGAAGGGAGCCTTCCCTTGCAAGTGCAAAGCAACGAGCAGTCATTTCTGGAGGACTTCATTGCCTGTGTGCCAGGGTCCAGCGGAGGGCGCCTTGCAAGGTAACAATTTGAGTTCACTGCTTCCTGCTGTTAGTGTTTCAGTTTCTTGTCAAAACAGAAAAAGAGTGGTTAAGTGTTCAGTCTGAAAAAGCTGCACTGTTGCTTGTTCTAAAAGACTAGCTATATGATTTTCCTAATTATGTCACATATTAATTAAATAAAGCTATTGTTTCTATTAACAATAAAATATTATATTGAAGAAAGCTCTGAAGTGTTCAGACCTTCTTCATCCCAGGCAAAGGTCATGTTTGTATAGACTGTGTGGCTAGGAGAGATTTTAATATTGTTTCTCTTTTGGTAGATGGCTGCAGCCAGATTCGTATGCTGATCCTCAGAAAACATCTTTGATTTTAAATAAGGATGACATTCGATGTGGCTGGCCAACCGTTATTACCGTACAAACAAAAGACCAGTATGGGGATGTTGTTCATGTTCCTAATATGAAGGTAATTACAATAATCTTGTCTGTTCTTACACTTTGTCATGCCCTTCTTTTAATAATAATTTAATGAATTCATTTTTAGTATTGTGGATATTCCAGGTAGTACACTTGAATTCTGCAGAAAGTGGCACTCTTGAATTCAGTGTAGTCCATGAGACTACACTTGCCTCTACATCCACAGAATTATCAAATTCTCTTATCGAATCCTGTGGGAATAGCCAGCTATGTGTAAGATGTTTAAGATGATAAGAATTTTTTTTATCTTTATTTATTCATTTTGTAATCATATAACCAATTGTAAACTGAGTAAATGGGATTGAAAAAATAATTAAAAGCCATGGAACCACTTTAGACTCACTGCACTTCTTCCTTCCCCATTTCTAATATTAGGAAGTTCCTAGAATCAGTGAAATTTAAAAAAGGGATTTTTTTATTTAGTTACTGTTTTTCTACATTACTTTAATAAAGAAGCAGAAATATTAATTTAACCATTTGTTTAGATTCATTCAGCATGAAGTGTTCTGATTTAACTTCCAGTAAATTAAGCTAAACACATTGCATGATTATGGTGAGCTATGCATAAACTTACTTTCAAAGTAGCTAACCTGTTCTTCCTCCAAAAAATAAATACTGTTATAAATAAATATGATATGACAAATGATAAGTAAATCTCCATTACCTGTGCAGAAGAGTTCAATGTAGATATAGCTGGGTGATTCTGTGTAGAACTGGTCAAGATGCAGGTTGGCTCTTTCTGAGGCAGGCCTAACAAGTTAAATAAATATGATATGACAAATGATAAATAAATCTCCATTACCTGCGCAGAAGAGTTCAATGTAAAGATATAGCTGGGTGATTCTGTGTAGAGCTGGTCAAGATGCAGTTTGGCCCTTTCTGAGGCAGGCCTAACAAGCCCTGTTGGCTCTCTCTGAAACCCAGTGCTCATCCGTAAGGCTCTAGTACAATTTGTAGCATTTCCTGTTGTGAGAAAACTTAGCTCTGCGTATCAGCATTTGTGTGTTTTCTAGTGCTTTGGCACAGGCATAATTGGCACAAAATTAGAGCTAAACCCTACTGGCCCTCACTGATGACATGCAAAGTCACCGGAATGCTTCCCTCTCGCACCTCTGTGTGCTTGGTTGCTGAGCTGAGATGGTTTGCTTGGGTTTGCCAAGAGTTAAGTGCAGGCTCTTGGGTTTCTGATGCGTAACTGGGTTTGTCTTTCACCACTCTGTCACCGTAGCTCCCGCGATGTAAAAGAACGTTTGGGTGTCTTCTTGCAGGTGGAGGTCAAAGCTATTCCCGTTTCTCAGAAAAAAACGTCTTTGCAACAAGAGCAAGTTAAAAAGGGGCAGCGAATACCAGGGAGTCCTGCAACAGCTGCCTCCCCTAACACTGACATGACCTTTGGAGGGCTTCCTTCACCAAAACTGGACTCCTCTTATGAACCTATGATAGTAAAGGAGGCTCGATATATTGCCATTACAATGATGAAGGTAAATTGCTGTCATTTGTGCAATGGAACTGTACAATGCGTTATGCTAAGAGTGTATCGAGTTGTGGAGAGAGGAAGGAGAAAAGTGTATGCCAGTTTGGCAGCCTAAAAATGAATTTCTTGGTTACAAATTGCCCCCATTATGTTCATGAAGCTCAGGAGTAAGCTACATGTATCAAAAGAGGTCAATTGCTTAAACTATTTAATTTAAAATAGAATTTAAAAAGATAAGTGTATCTTTGGTTTTAGTTACCCTGATTAACAAACTAGCCTGAGATGGGAAAGGAAAAGCACTATTGAAATAAGAGAAAAATAGAAAAAAAAAATCGAATCTGCATAGGATTGAAGTGTTGAATATGTATTATAAACTGTAAGAAATAAGCATAGGGAAAAGAAATCAGAGCTCAGCAAAAAGATCATACAAATAAGATCTTGTAACAACTTTAAAAAATCAAAATGCACATGCAGGAAAATATTGAACAGTATCTATTGAAATTAGCTCATGTCAAATGAGGCATGAGAGTTTGCAGGCAGCAGTTAGTAAAGAGGTGGCTGGTAAAAAACTGAGCAATTGGCATTGTGGATTTGGTATGTGTTGTGAGCTGTGGGGTAAATTACTCACAGTATACCAGCTATTGGTGTGAGATGCCTCCCTTCCCTTTATAATCATGGGTTATCATCAATGTGGATTTATTGGAAAAAAATTGTAAGTTTTCTCATTTTAAAGGTTACAGACTTGTTTTCTATAAATGATACTACTGGAGCAGTTGCATACAGGGAGTTCAAGTAGTTAGCAAATAACAGTGAATCAGTGAAAAAAAAAAGTGAAATCAATATAGTGTAAAACATTAAAAAAAACATAAAATCACATGTCTGAAAATGTATTTACAACCACAGAATTAGTGTGAGGGAGACAGGTGATGGTCTAATTTTGATTTTATTTGAGATGCTGCAAGAATCAGTTCTTGACTTGATGCTACTTGACACATCTTCTGATGACTTGAAGAAAAATACATTATTTACAAAGCCAAATGGCTTTTGTAGTCATCCTTATTCAAAGGCACATGCTGCTGCTTCTTTAGCAACAGCATCAAACCTATTTACACAGCTCTTATGGTGACACACGTTGTAAAATATTAGATAATTTGCAGTCATTGAACATGGAGCAAATACAAGTTATCCAGGAGTTTATCTTCAGAATTGATGCTCCTTTTGGATGAGGAATGTTTGGTATTAGCTGCTAATCATCTTTAATTTGCATCAGGGTAAAATAAAATGAAAATGCAAGTATTTTCTAAAAGTTGTCTTAGTAGATAACAACACAAATGTTTGTAAAAGTGAAGTATTAAAAGAAAATTGCATGCCTAGATAAATGTAAAAAGAGTCTCTCCCTTCTTGTTCAAGTATGTTTGACTTTTGTATTTAACACCTTTCTGTGGAGTCTTCAGCAGCCGTTGAGGCACAGAGCTACTCATATTGAAGTGCTTTGTGCAGCTCTGGGGCTGCTCTTTTCCACTTTTGGGGGCCTTTTGAGTGAAGTCATTTCACAAGAAACTGAAAGCAGGACAGGCTTTTTTTTTGTGTGTGTGTGTGTCAGGAATCAACATAAATATCATCTGTAGTCATCTCTACTTGTGACTGTAGCATGAATTACTAGGCATTGTGGGCCCTGCTTTTTCTAACATATTATTCCTCCTCTTCAAATAGACATTTTTAAAGATTGCTGTGGCCAGCCAAGAGTATGGCATCATGAATGCAGCTATGCTACAATAGACACTGGGATGCTCATGGCAGGTTACAAAAAAGACAGAGTCACACACTTCTTGGAGGTGCACAGAGAAAGGACATGTGGTAGTGGACACAATTTGTGAAAAGAGAAATTTCATTCAGATCATAGAATGCTTAAGGTTGGAAGGGACCTCTAGAGGTCATCTAGTCCAACCCCCCTGCACACGCAGGGTCGCGTAGGGCACGTGGCACGGGACTGCGTCCAAGCGGGTTTGGCCACCACTGAAACGAGGCCAGCACCATCCTCCTTGCTGCCTCCCTTGAGGTACTTATAGACACTGATCAGATCCCCTCTCAGCCTTCTCTTCTCCAGGCTGAACAGGCCCAGCTCCCTCAGCCTCTTCTCACAGGGCAGATGTTCCAGGCCCCTGACCATCCTTGTGGCCCTGTGATGGACTTTCTCCAGCAGCTCCACATCCCTCTTGTACTGTGGAGCCCAGAACTGGACACAATGCTCCAGATGTGGCCTCCCCAGGACTGAGTAGAGGGTCAGGATCACCTCCCTCGACCTGCTGGAGACGCTGTTCTTAATGCAGCCCAGGATCCCATTGGCCTTCTTGGCCACGAGGGCACACTGCTGCCTCATGGTCAACTTGTCATCCACCATGACACCCAGGTCCCTCTCTGCAGAACTGCTCTCCAGAGGTCGGTCCCCAGCCTGTGCTGGTGTCTGGGGTTATTCCTCCCCAGGTGCAGAACCTTGCACTTGGCCTTGTTGAATTGCATGAGGTTTTTCACTACCCAATTGTCCAGTCTGCCCAGGTCCCTCTGGGGTATCAGTGCAGCCCTCTGGGGTATCAGCTACTCCTCCCAGTTTCATATCATCAGCAAACTTACTGAGGGAGCACTCAGATACAAGGAGGAAAAGTCGCAATGCTAAAATCAAACATTGATATAGGATGCCCAGAGAAACTGTGAAATCTTTGTCCTTGACGATGCTCCAAAAGTAACCAGATAGTCCCCTGAGAAAACTGATCAAATTTGAAATTGGGTCTAACTTTGAGGGTGACCGTAGTCTGAGAAGGAGATTGAACCTAATTACCTCCAGAGGCCTCAACTGATAGAAATCATTGTATAATTCTATGATAGACACAATAGAGAATAAAATCATGGAAGCAGTGCTCTGGGATCATGCCAGCACAGGCTTAGGTAGACTTAATTTGTCATGGTGCTGTATCCCCTGCATTCTCTATGAATATTTGTGACCTACAAGGAAGTTGAAATCTAGCTTATTAAACATAACTCTCCACAGGGACATGAAAAGGATCCAGAAGGTTTTTATTAAAATTAGATTTAAAAGAATTCGAAGGCTATGACGGTATTAAATAAACAATGTTTTTGTTAGCAATATATATCTTTCTTATACACTGTGTATATATACAATTTATATGTTTTGTATATGTATATATCATACCTAAATAATGGCTGTTTAAGGTGTAAGTGAAGCTATTTTCTCGTGTGTGTGTGTATGTAAGTTTGTTTTTCTTTTTGTATTTTGGAACTAATTCCTGGTTCCCTGATTACCAGAAGCACAATGCTTCTGGTAAATGTAAAGTTAGATTTCTTTGGTTTGAGAAAATACTCCATTTTAATTTTTATTCAGGATGCTGTAATCATTGATAACTGTTGATTTAATATTTTTAATTTCATTGTTTTATAGGCATATGAAAATTATTCCTTTGAAGAATTACGCTTTGCTTCACCAACCCCAAAGAGGTAAACATTAAAAATTACCATATAAAAAGGATTAAACTTATAATGTCCTGTCATTTCTGCTTATGCCTGCAGTCACAAGCCTTGACTGCAAGAAATTGTGGCCAAGTAAAAATCTGTAATGTATTTTCAACACTGAACATTTTCTAATTTATATATCATTTCGTCTTCTTAAAGTTAGAGATTTTTTAAAAAATTTTGCACTCTTTATTTTTGTAAGGTTGATTGTTTATTTTTATTATCCATTGTCTCAATACGAATTTTTGTCATTTGCTATGTGACATATGAAATAGAATGTAATATCTTTATGAAAGTAACTTGGGCATTGTTATAAAAAGTACAGTGGACAGGGGTAGACAAATAGTATTTTGATTTTTTAAGAAGAAAACAATAAAATAGCTCTACATTAAGTATTGCATGTGATTTTCAAGAAGCCAGTAATTGTTTAATGGTTTCAATTCTGTTTTGTTTATGTCTAGACCCAGTGAAAACATGTTGATCAGAGTCAATAATGATGGTACCTACTGTGCAAACTGGACTCCAGGAGCAGTTGGTCTCTATACCATTCATGTTACTATAGACGGCATCGAAATAGGTGCTAAATTTTAACTATACTTAAGTAGAAACTGTGGTTATATTGTGTGTTAGTAAATGCATAGTTTTCTCAGTGCTCGTGATGTTTAGTATTAAAGTTTATAGCAAAACCTAGCACCCACATTTTAGTCCAGAAGTCTTATTCCCTCTTTTTTCTTAGGAGAAATAAAATCACAACTATTTTCTCATTGTAATAAAATCATATTTGGAAAGCATATATATATAATGTGGTTAAACTACAAGAATAATAGAGTATCATATTCATGACTCTTCATATGTTGTTTTGAGATTTAGGGTCCCTCACCTTCCTCCACTTTCAGAATCCTGCTTCCAGTCAGGATCTTCACCTCTTCTTTCTGTGCCCTCTTCCACTCTCTGAGACTCTCCTCATTTTCAAGGATTCTTCTTTTTGGCCTACGACTCTTTCTGGAGCCCCATCCCTCAGTTGTCCCAGTTTAAATTGTCTGTGTGCAGAAGCACAACATGCATTTAGATTCTGAACTGGAAGATTCAGGACACGCCACTTAGCCCATGAGTTCTCAAAATTTAAAGACAACTCTTATCAGTTGCACTAGCAAATAGCGACCATGTGGTTGTGTGTTCAAAAGTTTTACTTCCAAACCCATCAGCATATACACATGCACACAAACACCCACTCAGCCACTGTCTGCTGCCTGCCAGAGTTCGCAAGTTAAGGTACTTTTTTGCTTGTGAGATTCCATCTATACTGCTGCATCTAGACAGATTGTAGAGTAATTTTGTTAACAAAGTGTGACTCTCACTCAGGCTTGGACATAGGATGACACTTGGATTGCTCATTCCATCTCAAATGCAAGAAAGTAGCAATGCTTTTGACATCAGTTTGTGGATTAATACTTTGAATCTGGAATTTGTAGTCTGATTTACTAATTCCTGATGTGATCTATTAAGCAGTGCTTCAGATCTAGAGCTGAGGGTTGTGTTTTTGAATTGTAACATTTTTATGAGGCCTTTCCATCCAGATAGTGCTCTCATGTGGGCTTCAGTCTTTGATTTTGTGCCCCTCAGATTGTGTTGAGCTCTGAGTTGTAGCACAGATCAGCTATAGTCACCGTTTGACTGACGTATCCCCTTATAATGATTTTTCTTAAACTCATTTTTTGTTTGCTTCTAGACGCTGGCTTAGAAGTGAAAGTGAAAGATCCCCCGAAGGGAATGATACCACCTGGAACCCAACTTATTAAACCAAAAGCAGAACCTCAGCCAAACAAGGTTTGGAGAATTAAAACATATGTATTTTAACAGGTTTTGGGTGGGTTTAGTACATGCTTTATCATGTTATAGTGGTACAGAACTTGAGGATAATTCTAAATCACTTTAATATGCTGAATACACATAAAATGAAAGGTAATCCTTCCATTATCTTTCTGTTTGTCCATTAATAAAACTGAGAGATTGTGCAGAAACTACCTTTTTTTTGATTTGTCATTCAAACATTGTGCAATCTCTATGAAGAATACAGACTGCATTATGCACCATTATTAGTTTTTCTTATTTTATATTGTACTATGGTATGCAAAGGAAAAATAAGTTTATAAAGATCTTGTTTGTTTGGTGATAAGGCTTTTTCTTCAGTCAATATAAAGCATTCAATATATGAATTTAGTAACATCTCTGTCTTAGAATCTCATACTTTATTTTACCAAATCCTGTAAGACTTCCCCATTTCATCCATCCCAAAGGACAAATAATGGAAGAAAGCTGAAGGGTGGCAACTCTTTAAAGAAAATGCCCAGCTGGGGGAACAATGTCCAGCTTTCTGTAAGATGCTAAGGAGTTGATATCTAGCAGGGTGCTGAATCTTGTTCATGGAATTAGCTTGTGTTAAAAAGTGAAAAGTTCTGAAATACCACAAGATTATCCTTCCTGTCTTATAACAAGAACTAAGGCGAATCATTCCCCTCTGCTGCCTAAGAAAAACATTACGAAATGTGCGTGTTACAAAATGTTACAAAAAAGATCAAGTATTTGCCGACTCATTACGTAAACCCTGCATCGTGATCTATTTCTTTTCTAGCTTTTTGGAAATGACTGTTGGCTGGTGTACTCACAGTTAGCCTTATCTCCCCATCAGGATAGGGCCATCAGGACTGTTATTGATGGTTAATGTCTGGGTAGGGGAAGAAATCAGGGAGGCAACTACCAGGATCAGATAATGTGGTAGTTACCACCTGAACAGGGCTATGTGTGAGAAGTCAGGATGAGCTGGGGAAGGAGCATATCTGTCACATTGACAAATCATAGTTTTGTTTATTTCCTTATTCTCTGTTATTTGAAATGAGATGAAAATTGGACTCTCCTGTCTGTCCAAGTTCATAAAAAAGATTAACAAAACTAGGTACCAAACTGGGTGGAGTGGCGAACACTCCAGAGGGCTGTGCTGCCATTCAGAGGGACCTAGACAGGTTGGAGAGTTGGGCAGAGGAACCTCATGAGGTTCAACAAGGACAAGTGCAGGGTCCTGCACCTGGGGAGGAATAACCACAGGCACCAGGACAGATTGGGGGTTGCCATGCTGGAAAGCAGCTCGCTAGAGAGGTATTTGGGAGTCCTGGCTGACAACAAGTTAGCTATAAGGCAGCAATGTGCCCTCGTGGCCAAAAAGGCCAATAGGATACTGGCCTGCATCAGGAGGAGCGTTGCCAGCAGGTCGAGGGAGGGGATCCTGCCCCTCTGCTCAGCTCTGGTGTGGCCACACCTGAAGTAATGTGTGCAGTTCTGGGCTCCCCGGTACAAGAAGGACACTGATCTTCTAGAGAGGGCTCAGCATAGAGTGACAAAGATGATTAAGGGACTGGAGCATCTATCTTATGAGGAAAGACTAAGCGAGCTGAGCCTGTTTAGTCTGGAGAAGAGAAGATTGAGAGGGGATCTGATCAATCTGTATAAGTACCTGAGGGGAGGATGAGGTCAAACTCTTTTTGGTGGTGGCCAGTGACAAGACAAGGAGTAATGGCTACAAGTTGAAAAACAGGCAGGTCCAGCTCCATGTGGGGGAGAACTTCTTTCCTGTGAGGGTGACAGAGCCCTGGAACAGACTGCCCAGAGAGGCTGTGGAATCTCCTTCTCTGGAGATCTTCCAGACCCGCCTGGATGCCACCCTGTGCCACGTGCTCTAGGTGTCCCTGCTGGAGCAGAGGGGTTGGACTCGATGATCTCTAGAGGTCCCTTCCAACCTCAACCATTCTGTGATTCTGTGATTATTGTAGTAACCTGTTTCCGGCCTGGAATATATGAACAGTACAAACTGATATTCTCTTATTTGCTGTAACATTCAAATAAACTAAATTTGTAGCTAACACCATGCCAGATCCCACTGATGGAAACATTCTCTCTCAAGTACTGTAATTTGGGGTTTTTGCAACAACTACAATAAAGCAGGCCTACTGTACCTAAAATGAAAGGAACCAGATTAGTACCAATATGACTGTGTACTAACAGGTTTTGACAGTTTCATCTGTCTTTGCGGGCCTGTCTTTGGGGGACAAGAAGCAGTGTTAACAGCAGAAAACAGAAAAGCTCTGAGCAAGGGACTGTTTTTTTGCCTGCCTTCACAGGAAGGTAACACACTTGGTAAGGTGGTTGTATCCTGTACAATGCACCTTTCTGTGCTGCAAACGGTGCCTGTTCTCACATTAACCAAATAGATGGCACAATAACAGAGCTCTTGCAAAGCATATGCATATATGAATAAATGTATGTATGTGTACATATGTTCATTGCTGTGCCTCCTTGCGTTGGTCACTTCTTTCAGGCTAAGCCCAGTTTTGTTTAATCCATGGAAGAAATGACTGTAAAGGTGTTAAAGGAGAGAGTTACTCAACCACTGTGTCGTAGGGAAATGTTTGAAGCAGAGAGATTCCATATCAGAAAGACTGAGATAATTTGGGCTGTCACAAAGAGCCAAAGCAGAATGCTTCATCTGTCTTTTCTTGTATTGGTTTAGACAGTCTGTCAGTGGATCTGATCCCTAAAATATCTGTATTTACCGTTTAAGGTTCACTATCAAATAATTAATTGCTACAAGGAAAGAAAATGCTCTTTCAAAGTCTCTCTAAATCTGATGTGTGAATTCTCCTTTCTCTTAATTCAAGTTTTTAATCGAAGCTCTGACTAACCCATCATAATTCTGGAGCCCCAAATTTGAGAATAATGCAACACCCCCTCATGTGCATAGCTGTGTTTAGAAGCTTTTTTATATTGGAAATACTCTTGGCAGTGACTCTGCACTGTGTGTTTACAAATACCTTGGACATTCCTAGGTTATGGCACTTAGTTATTTCAGTTTAAAGAAATGTTAATTATTGGAGTAATAACATTGCCACTAAAAAAACCTGACGCATCAGGGAGTAGAGTTAAATTTGAAATTTTTGGTATTTCCATGGTTCTTACCTTTTATCAATCTTCACTTATTTTTTTTTTCAGCTAAGTCATTTTCCAGGGATTTTTTTTCTTTAAACTAGCCTTTAAGAGAAATATCATTTCTTAAAATAGGTAATTTTTTTAAAAAATGAAATAAATTCTCTAAGGAAAATATCCAGATTTTTACTAACAAGCTGATTGCACATAGTATTTTGGTAGCAACAAATGGGAAGCAGTAATCTTGGGTTAAATTTGGAAAAAAAAAAATCTTGCACTCCGTAGTTTACAGAAAATAGTAAAAGGAAGTCGAGCGGTTAAAAGAATCAGGAGCTTGTATTAAGAACTGTATAACACATTTTTTTTCAGAGTTTCTGTAGATATGCTTCTACTCGTAGGCTTTATCATAAAAAACAAAGTCATGCACGCCAGCCATGGGAAACCAGCAACAAACTGTAACTCTTAAGACTGCCATTTCATCACTGTAGCATTTCAGAATCTGTTAAATCTATTTCTTTTTACGCTTTGAGAGCTCTGTTCCAGTTTTTCTTCCTTACTGTCTTCCTTTGCTTCTCTTAGGTTCGCAAATTTGTGGCCAAGGACAGTGCAGGGCTTCGTATCCGTAGCCACCCTTCCCTTCAAAGTGAGCAAATAGGCATAGTGAAAGTCAATGGATCCATCACTTTCATTGACGAGGTAATTAATATGAAATTTCCGTTGAAAACTGATTGTAAAGTAAATCCATGCAAATAATGGTTTGATTTTTGTATATGTTTAGATGTCAATATATATAATTTAAGAACATATTAGTTATAAATTGCAAAATTTAAATATTTACCAATTTCATTTTCAAGTTGTTGTTTCCTTATTTTAAAATGTGTGCAGCAAACTTTAGAAATAGGGACATGAGAGGACAAAATTAACTGTTAAACTTAATATAGTCTAAGGACTTAGTTCTTCATGATTTACTATTTCAGCAAAAATTCAAAAGTGTAGGTATCATGTACATTGTAACTTTTACTTACACTTTTGAAAGCTCACCATTACATTAGGCAATTGTGCATGATTTTTTAATATGCTAAATAAAAGCAGAAGTGAAAAAAATGGTGTCAAGTGGTGTCAGTAAATTTATGAAATCTTAGCTTATTTCTTTCCTCGTTTCTCTCAAAGCAAATCTTATTATTGCATGATCTACATTTAATTTTACATCTAGTCTGCTAAAAACAAATTGCCCAGATTGCTGTGGTACTCTGGTTTGGTCAATATTCCTCTCTACCTTGCCTTACCTTCTGCGCTATAGTTGAATGTTTCTCCCTTGCTACTGCTGCCTGCTTGTTTAAAGGCTGTTAATCCTTCCTAGCCACAGTTACAGGAGGACATGGCCCGTTTTTGTTGCTTGTTTCCCATAGATCCACAATGATGATGGTGTTTGGCTGAGGCTGAACGATGAGACTATAAAGAAGTATGTTCCTAACATGAATGGTTACACAGAAGCCTGGTGCCTCTCTTTTAACCAGCATCTGGGCAAGAGCCTTCTGGTACCTGTTGACGTAAGTAAAAGGTGCCTTTGCAAAAATATCCAAAGTACACTCTGTCCTCATTATAAGCCTGCCTTTAATTAAGGCTGCAGATGAGGAGTCCTGAAGTAAAAAATCTTTTAATTGGTAAATACTGTCTTATATGGGTGTTTGCCTTTCAAGGGCTATTGCATAATGAGGGTGGGGTGTAGAAAGGTGCAGTACTTTTCATGTTGAAGATTCTCTTCCAGAAGAGAATGTGCAAGGACTAGTACAATAGTGTATTGAAATGTAACCACATTTGGTTATGGTCTGATACAGATGTTTCTCATACAGGACCACATTGTTCATAAAACAACCCATTGATGTAGTGATTTAGGAATGAGCTTACTGCCAGAAGTTAATCCATGTAACTGATGCTTTAAAAAAAAAATGAGAAAAAACTTTCAGCTCTACTGTCATAGATATCTTTTATGAATTTTACATTTGCATTGTTGAGTTATCAACTTACTGCCTAATCAAAGAATCAAAAAGCATCAGGAATGACTAACAATGCTGAATCTATAATTAGAGCAAGCATATTTTTTTCTGGGTAGGTTTAATGGTGATCACTATCTACATGCTTGTTGGTGACAGGTATAGCAAAGAAAAATCACTACATTAGTCAAATCAGGGTTTCTCAAAAACTGCTATGAAAGTACAAGCCTTTCTGGTACCTCTGTACATTCCCCAGAGGGGGCAGAAACTCAATTTCTACAGGGCAGAATGTGAAAAGCAGATTGGGAGCTACTGCAAATGTTTAGACTTGACTTTTCTTCTGACTGGAGTGATCTACAGCCTACAGCTAAAGGCAGTTAACATATTTTTTGCCAATATATTTAAACACCTGCAACCACTAATTTCACCTTTTTTATATTTCCCTATCATGGAACTGAGCTGCTTGCCAAATTCCTTCTGTATTTTTGAGAATTGCTTTAATATTGCATTTAGGAAGCAAATTGTTTCTATCCTCAGCCATGAGTGCCTCAGACACTATAGTGACAGGCATATTTATCTAGATTATTGTAGAATAGGTGAAAATATGGAAAAAAAGTAAGCTTTGCTCACTTGTGTTTTTGACCTTAGAAATCAATACTCATTGGAAAATTGCTATACTGTGCTTCTGTGAAACACTTAGGTTTCTATGCAGCAGTTAAATTTTACCCATTCATCCAGAATAAAAGTGAATTCACTCATGACTAACAATTTACTGGATGATATTTTTCAAATGGCTCCCATAAACCTTTGTTTTCCAGAGAAGAACATAATCTATAGTCTCTGAGAATAGCTTAAAAAGAATAGTTCATAAAAAAGAGGCAAATTAAAAGAAAATCTTGATTCTGTAAGAGATTTTATTTGAATAAGTATACTATGTACAGTGCATTTAATTATCGTTTCTACATTAAGTTATAGTATGCATCTTTTTCATACATTTCATGGTATGATTTCTTTTTAAAGTTCAGATGAAATATTACCGTCTTTTGCTGCTTCTTGAAATGTATTATAAGCTAATTTTGATACCATTTTAGTTTTTATGAGCTGAGATGTATTACTACATCATGGTTTTCTTTTAACCAAGCAGTTTCATTGCAGCCTGAGTGGCAGTAGGGAAAAGTCACACTCCGCCTTAGCAACAGATCAATGAGTGGCCAACACTTCAGGAAGAAAAGTCAAGGGTCACTGGTTACATTCAGGTGCCCTTGTCTGTACTGCATGCTGCTACACCACACAGCACCACAGCCAGCTTTGGGAAATTCAGTGAACTCTCTTGGAAGCTCCCAATTTTTATAACTCAGCTTAAAACTTGTTTTCCTACTGAATCTACATCACATGAAGTAATACCATTTTCTTGATAAAAAAATTTAAACTAAATTTTCTTAAGGTAATTATGGAATTGAGAATATTGAAAAACATATGCCTTTTATCCCTCTAAATTGTCCAAGAAAAGAACTGCACTTTAAGATGCAATTGATAAACACAGTCCTCTAGAGCGGAATGGCCCATATGGCAAAGGATGTTCAGTGAGGTAATAAATGCTAGAGGTTCTGCAGAACAAATGAAAACTATATTTGTGCGTAAGTTTATGTTGATTTGTATAGTGTAGTGAACTTTTGTCTAGAATGTAGTAAAGAATTTGTTAAGAGACAAGATGTTTGGATTCCTAAGCTGTCCTACCCGTTCTGCAGAAGAGTGGACATAACGGAAAAGTGTCAAACACGACTGAAAACACATATGGAATATCAAATGCCTGAACTAGTTGTAGTATTCCCCATTCAAATTACCACCACCTTATTCGATTATGATCTTGCATAATTGGTGATCTTGGTTAATTTTCTTCCTTTTTTGCGAAATTCAGGTAACATTTTTTGAAAATATTTCCAAGGTTTGGATAGAAGATGTTATGTATTTAGCCAGATACTATTACATGCTCACACATAGTATGTAGCAAAAAGTAACATAAAGCATAGAACAATGCATACTAAGGAGAGGTAGTGTTTCATTTTATTGGATGTTAATTTAAGCTTTGTTATGGTTAAGTTCAGGATCTGGACTTTTTAAAACCATATTGTGGATATGTTTCTTTAACTTATTTCAAATGTCAACTGTTATAATCACAAGGAATACTGTACCTTAAGCCCAGTTCTTATTGTTGCATTCCCCAATCGCTGTAGGCAAAGAGCATGGAGGGAACTGCAAGTTATTGAAGCCATTAGCGCAGTGGAAAAAACCCAAATTAATAGACAAATTGCCATGTTTGATCACAGATTCTCAAACACCTTAATTCTGTATGGAGCCATTGAATCACAGCTGCTGCTGTAGCTGTCAGAATTACTGCCACTTTAGACACGAGGAGCAATTAACTGTTGGGTATACCAGCAAGATGATATTTTAGATAAGCTGTACTGCTTTAAGAAAACAATATTAATTGAGATTTCAAATACTCATTTATTTTCTGCTAATCTTTGGTGAATTGTATTCAATTCTGTGATTTCTCAAAATGAAACTTAATTAGGAAACACTATAAAATTATGAATTCCAGAAATTATTTTAATTTTTGGAAAAGAAGGTTGGAAATTTAAAATACCTTGAATTTTCTTATTTTAAATAAATGCATGTAGGATATATTCCTCTAAAATTGTATCTGTCATCTCAAGAAGGCAGGAATTTTTAGAAGTTGAAATCAACTATGAAATACACTCCGGCAAGCACAGGCTTTTTATAGTCATTTCAGTTTTATGTCGAACTGAGATGCCTTTACTTTGCCATCTTCTTATTTAAAAACATGCATTACCCACCTGCACCAAAAAAAGGAAAAACAAAAACCAAGCAGATACCTTGTGTATATTAGTACCTCTTGCAATTGCAGATAGGTATGCTGTGTTCTGTTGACTGACAGTTTCTCTTTTTTGTCAAAACTGTAAATTATTTGCATTTCTGAAGCTTGATGTAAGCAAAAGTTTTGCAAACAGTGCATAGGTAGATGACTTACTTCTATCTTGAGATGGTGTTGCTTATTTTTAACATATATGACTGTTTTTTTGAGGAATATGGAAAAAGCATGTCGGGGCTTTCAACTTCTGGTTCAAGTGATTCTTTTCCTTTAACTACTGTTAAATTGTAACATGACTGTTGTACAGGGATTTCAAAGTGGCAATAAGGAAATAAGATTTTGATGTGTCATTTAATATAGATAAAATGGTAGCTTTGTCAAAGGTTTTCTGCTATAAATACTGATCGCTAATACTGCTATCTGTATATTACTAATTCTTCCGTTTGACAGGAACAGTGGAAATTTCTTTGCAATGGGTAGAAGCAAAAGTGATTCTTTGTGTAGAATAGAGGGCTTTTTTGGTGTTCTCCAAGGGCTAATAAATGCTGCCCCAGCTATTCTGTGGGAGGAAAAAGTATACAGAGCATTGCTTTTTCCGATTACAAGAGGAATTGATTATAAAACTCATGAATTCTCTTTCAGAGCTCCACTTGGTTTATGATGCTTCATAATCACCTAGTAAATGTATTGTATGTTTGGTAAAATTAATGAGGTCTTAGTACTCATTCTCCTTACAGCACTCTATTAAATTTTTGCTCCCGATAGAGTGCATTTTGGTTTGCAAACCAGTGAGAACATTTTGTACGAGTGAGGTGCTGTGAGCAGTATTGAGCTTAGCACTTCTGCATCTTTTTAGTACTGAATTGGTCCGTGTGCAGTTGTCCTGCAGTCATAAATGAAATTGTCCTCCAAACCAGCAGGCTGTCTTGCTGTAAACCTGTAGCTCGTACTGGAACAGTCACTGTTCGTTGTGACAAGGGATTTGTCTTGTACAAAGCCTCAAGTTTTGTTAGAAATGTCTGGCTCCTAATTCAGTAAATGGCATGACACACTACATTCATTTTGAGCTTTTGACATGCTAAGATGCTCTTGTTTAATAGATGTTTTACCATGGTGTGCAGTGATCAGGTGACTCCATTAGAAAAACTTTTCCCTTTTGCAAAGCATTCTACCAGTAAAATTATTTGTGAAGAAAGTCTGCTTATACTATCTCTAGCTTCTTCCTCCAATGTTTGTTCCCTTTTCTTTGATGATATTTGTCTTTTTTAAACTTTATTGCTCAGAATGTCTTTAATGCTAGCCAAGGAGTCAGGGATTTGGACTTTTTTTCATGGACTTCCAAAGCTTTACCCCCCAAGGTGAGTTAAATGTCAGGATCAGTCACATTGTATCTCATGTTTTCAGAGTGTATGTTATAACTCAACTCTGCATTGAAAATTCTGTTTTATCTTTTTTTTTTTAATGGAAAAGGACAGATTTTCATAGCATGCTCTATCTGTATTTATTCCTGTATGATAAAGAAAAATACTAATGAAAATTCCCAAATTTTAGTTAATTCATAAACAGCACTCTCCTTTTTTAACATAAATTAAATGCGAATTTGAGAGGGAGAGCCTACAAGCGTAATAAAGGCTTTCATTCTCTTTTTTTTTAACACACAATGTATTAGGGTTTTTTTTCTGTGTCTGTAACATACTAAGTTACAGCACTTCGTAAAATGACAAGTTCATATGAATGCACTCTTAAATTCTCAGCCCATTTTTAGTCTATTTTAAAATTATAGAGTTATAGTAAAAAGTTGTCAGATACAGTTAAGCAGTTTAAATTCTCACTGTAAGTGCTTTCCTAAATCTCTTTGCAATCCTGTAGTGGTTTTGATGTCAGAGTTGTTTCTGTATAAATTTTGCAATCAAGTTATACTCAATTTACACATTTTAGTTTAGAGGTTTAAAACAATTTTTTTTTGCAAAATCTTCTTCAAATTAGTGAAATTCTTTGCTACTATCCCAAGATCTAGAAAAATACTTGAGCTGTCTTTAGAACACAAAGGTTTTGTTTTCTCTTTAACCCAGTTTACCCTGGCTTGCATTAACTTGCTCTGAATTTTCCTATTTGCAGAACAGATGCATTTGTATAAAGGCCAATTGGAAAAACTGCTTTAGTACTCTGGACATAGTGCACATACTAAAAATACAATAATTAAGGAGACTAAATGAAAACATGTTAATTAAAAGGGAAATAACTTAATTAAAATTGTTAATTAAAAGGGAAAGATTTGTTTAAGACTGATGAGATGAAGTACTTTTTTTACCCATATGGCTTGCAGTATAAGCATAATAGATCTCACTGCTGCTTCTCATTTGCCTTCCTCAGATCTGAATGTCCATAACACTGCTCCTTTCCCTCATATTTCCCTGTACAATAGATATTTTATTAAATTACAGCTGATTGCAAATCTGTGTCCCTAGTTATCTTTGCTTGCTTTTTTTAGTAACTCCCATTTTTCATGGTAGGAAGTGGAAAAGTATCTTGTCATTTCAAATTCAGATATGTTATTTAATCTGTAGTTGGTACCAAATGAAATAAATTTCCAGGCTGTTTTTATTGCCAGAGTGAAAATAATAAACACACATTACTATTTAGGCATGTATTTAAGAATTTATGGGGTTGCTCTTGCTCTTTGTCATAACTTTACATTAGCAACATAGTTCAGTTCTGAAACTGAAATCAAAAAAGAAGCATTATCATTTGGAAACAGCTTATATTTAAATTCCTTTTACATAGCCCCAGTCGTTTTCCAGATTTCACAAATAGAGCCGGAATACTGAGTTTCTATCCTGATAAATGTCAGTATGAGATAAGCTTGAGCGAAAGTGCTAGAGTAAACAATTTTTATCTAATGATCTCCATTTTCGCCACTATTATTTTGAGAGAAATTTGATTCTTTTCGATTAATTTCCAATTTACTGCTAGTTCAGTTGTTCTGTTTATCATTGCATGCTGAAATGGGCAATGTAAGTAGTACATCTTAGTTTTGGAATTCAGCAATTGTAGTCTTGAAAGAAGGATATCTTAACTGAGGAGTTCAGCGGTGTTATTAACAGGTGTCATTCTGTTCTGTTTTGTTTTGCCTTTTCTAATTTTTCAGGAATCTAGGTCTAACTCTGATGATTTTTTCAAAGACCTGACCTCGCACTGCCCCCAGGAAGCAGTGATGCAAGAGCAAGAGCTGCCATTCCTGCGAGGGGGACCGGGAGTGTACAAGGTAGTGAAGACTGGCCCGTCAGGTCACAACATCAGAAGCTGCCCTAACCTTAGAGGTATCCCAATTGGAATGTTAGTTCTGGGAAACAAAGTCAAGGCAGTGGGCGAGGTATGGATCCTTGTAGCTTCAGTTCATGTCTTCATAGATACCAGTATATAACAGTAGTAAACTCAACAAAGAATCTGCCCCTATACAGGTTTGCTTTTCCAACACTTATGATAAATGCTAACTTTTGAATTTGATTTATATTATAAATACTAATGCAATTCCGTCTTTTGCCTTTTAGATGTGTGTGCATTGATTGGAAGAACCTTAAACTTGTACTGCAGTTACTATATGCATGTTTATTTATGTCCATTATATATTTCAGTATTATTTACCAAATAATGTTTCCTATTTTGCTTTTTGATCATATATTTTGAAAGAATTTTGCTTCACTGATTTTTTTTTCTTTCTAGGGCCTAAATAAGTAAAAAATGATTCTGTTTCTCTGTATTGATTCAGTTGTTCAGGTGCTGAGCCATTGCTACTCTTCCTTGTTGTCCAGCTGTGGTGTTTTGTGGTTAAGAAAGGCTAAAGGATGTAGTGTGTCATGCTATTTCCTAAATAATATCAGGAACAAATTTAGGACACGTATGACCTTTGTATAGAACTAGGTGTTATAACGTTTTTTGTTGCAGCTACCAAAAAAACAATACCGTGCTGAATATCACCTTTCAAGTTCTTGTTGGCTTGTTTGGATATTCCAAAACTGTGGTGTTGGTATTTCCGTTTACAGAACATAAACAGGACTAATATTTTGAAAATACTCCTAATTGTAAATGTGCCGTATATGGTTTTGGTCTCTCAGTCTACCTTGGCCTGTGGCCTTGATTTAATAAACATTTATTAATGTTTTCTTTGTAATGTAATGTAAAGATTGCCTGTTTTTCAGATACTGAAACATGTTGCTGAATCGTGCTGCTGAATTATCTGAAAAGACAATAAATCATGCATTTTTCCTGTGTGTGCATCAGGTGACTAATTCAGAAGGTACCTGGGTGCAGATGGATAAGAACAGCATGGTAGAGTTCTGTGAAAGTGATGAAGGCGAGGCCTGGTCCCTAGCTAGAGACAGAGGTGGAAACCAGTACCTGCGACATGAAGATGGCAAGTTTTTTGGTTTTTGGTTTTCTTACTATTTTAGAAGAAAAAATATAAGCAAATTAGGAAAAAAGACTTAAGGAAGGAACTGAATTTTAAATAGGCATAACAGTTATTCATACTTTCCCATCTGGGTTACTTTGCGTAGGTGAACTTCAAAGCCGTTATCCAATCCCTCCTTCAAATGTCTGTTTTTTAAAATATTTCCTGATGTTTTCTTTCGTACCAGTTATGGATCATATTTTTGTCCTCCTTTCTGCTTTAGAGATCATTTTCAAATACATAATAACTGTGCATTGCTCTTGTTGCTTTCTTTGGTCTGTGTTTCTGTGAAAAGCAGAACAGAATTGATTATTGATGTCACTTTGTGTTAATTTTGTTAATTCTGCCACATATAGCATCGCATTAAAAACCTGTTACAGGTTTTTAAACACTGTATAAAATTAACACCGAATTAGGTAATTATTTGAGCTGACAAACTATGATTGCATTCTGTTAAAGTGCATATTTTCTGTCTTGAAAATTCACATTCAGATTAGGCAAGACTTTCATATAATAAAAGGAAACTTAAAATCTTAGTACACTTAAAAATACTTTATTATTATTATTTATTTATTTTCTTAAATCATCCTCCTTGTTGATCTTCCTTCAAACAGGCTGTCATTGCTGATCTAAAATATCTTCTTCCCACCCTAAATTCTTCATGTGAATACCCCAAGTTTTCCTGAAACTGTAATTGTCATTTCCTTAACAGATGGTCCTGGACCTTCTGGATGAGTTCTCCTGTGGGCTACCTTTGTTTCCTCAAAAATGGGAGCAGGAGTGCTCTGTTGGTATCTATACTAGCCAGCCAGTGTCAGCGCTAGCCAGCGAACCATAGAACAGTTTAGCTTGGAAGGAGCCTCTGGAGGTCCTCTGTCCAACATCCCTCCCAGTGCAGATGGAGCTAGGTGAAGTTGCTCGGGCTTTTGTCGAGTCAAGTTCTCAATATCTCCAAGAATGGAGATTTTGCAGCCTCTCTGGGCAGCCTGTTCCAATGTTTCATCCATGTTCATGGTAAAAATTTTCCTAATTCCTAATCATATTTTCTCATGCCGTAATCTTTTTTGTTGTCTCGTGTCCTGTCACTGTGAATCTCTGAGAAGACTCTGGTTTCATCTTCTCTGAACAGTCCTGTTAATTAGATAGTCGAAGAGAGCAACAAGATCTCCCTTTTGCTTTCTCTTCTCAAGTCTGAATGAACCCTTCAAAAGACATTGTGTGCTCCAGTCTTCTGGTCATCTTGGGGTTCCCTTTGGACTCACTTGCAGAATGTCAGTGCCTGCCTTATAATGGGGAGCCCAAAACTGGACACCACTCTCCAGATGTCCGGTGGTTTCCTCCTTCTTTCAAATGTCTAGTAAAAGTTAATACCTGTATTCATCGGCATGTTTTTCTTAAATATTTTATTAAATATTTCTCGCTGAGAATGCCTGTAAGGTTCTTCTGTTGATTGAGTTCTCTATGAGATGGGTTTGGTTTAGTTCACTTACTTCCCTCAAAGCTTTTTTCCCTTTTCTTCTTTAGCACGTATTGCTCTATTTCTGAATACATTTAGAGAGTTTCTGTCTCTAGTCTCTCTGTGTATGGACTCTGTCTACCACATCCAATTCTCTAAAGCTGTCTTCATGAAAAGCTCCCACCTCAGCAGCTCTATTCTGTTTGTGCTCTTCAGTCACAGACTTACAGTGAATCTCCTGCTTGTTTGTTACAATAGACTCTTCGCTCAGTTTCCAACTTGGCCATTTTGTGTAGAAAATTGTTTAAATTTGGATGCTTTGATGATTGTCATCATATTACAGTATTAAGGCAAAAAAAAAATCCATGATAATATTTAAACATCTGCTGTGAACTGTTGCTTGACTTTTAAGGTGTAAAACATTCTATCAAGGCAGAGAAAAAACAATGGTGCTTTATATAAAGTACATAAATTTTTGAACAAAAACTGTTTATTGAACACTTAGCTTTTTTAAAAAGTCATAAGTCCTCCATTTTTCAGTTTTGTATGATATCAGTTTCTGAAATGGAGTATTTATTGATTAGAACAGTTTCTTACTATTGAAAGCATGCATATTCAACAATATGGTTGTTAATTTTATCAAACACAGGAAGTTCCATCTCCATGTGAGGAAGAACTTCTTTCCTGTGAGGGTGACAGAGCCCTGGAACAGGCTGCCCAGAGAGGCTGTGGAGTCTCCTTCTCTGGAGATCTTCCAAACCCACCTGGATGCTGGAGCAGGGGGGTTGGACTAGATGACCTCTAGAGGTCCCTTCCAACCTCAACCATTCTGTGATTCTGTGATTTTTTTCTGTCCTTAAAATGAAGCTGCTCACTTTTTTAATATAATCTGATTTCTCTGACATTAATAAATGTTTTCCTAATTGGTAGTCTAAGTATTTCCATATTCAGGTTATATAGACGTGTAGCTGTACAAAACTACATTGTAGGCTCCAAACTCTGAGGAACAAAATCTAATACTATTTTTATAATCCAATGAGTTGGCTTATTATTTTAGTAAAAGTCATGTGTGGGCCCTACGCCTGGTTTTATTCATGTCTAGATGAATCTTTGTTTTTGTGATTAAGGCACCACTTGTGCATCTAGCTAAGCAGTTTAAGAAGTCATTACAGCTGCTACTGGGATATTTCAGCTTATTCTACGTTCTGAATCCATTTCAGTACCAAGCAAAACTGATGAGCTTAAGCTGGAAATGATTTAAACCAATCATTTTGTTTACCATGAAATGAATTATAAATGCTCACTGTCATCAGTTACAATGCTTTAATTGGAGATAAATAGTGACTGGTTGAAGGAGCTCCAATTATTCTGCAATTTCCTATAATTTGATCCACAAATTATACTTTTTTCAGATTACTTTTATGTTGTTATTGTTTTTTTAAAAAAGAGGAGATTTTCATAAAGAAATTAGGTTTCTTTGAGGTGATGCCCAAATCTGCAGGCAGGTATCCAGATATTTGGAAGGAAACATTACAACAAGATCTACATTTGCCTGTAATCCAGAAAATAACAACTTTTTTTTTTTTTTTTCCTATCAATGGGTAGGTTGTAAGCTCATTTTAAGTGCAGCATTTTATTATTGCTGTCTATTTTGCTGTCCATTATCAGATATAAGTAAGATCAACTTAAGCAGAAGGTGGATTTATTAAGATGTGCAGGTTCTTTGTTTAACAATCGATTAGACAAAATCAAAAAAGCAGTATATGGATTTGTGATATTCTAGCCATCAATCTATGTATATTTTTTATTTTTTCTCTTGTAATTCTACATGTGAAGAATGAAATCCAAAGATATTTCAGAGGTTTTCTTTTTTTTATACTGAACTTAAATTTCCCACCCTTCTCACTAATAAAAACTTTGTTTTAGTTTTGGTATATGTGTATTATATCAAAGTATGTACTCTAAAGTGCAGATTTGGTCTGAAATATTATTAAAATGACACTTAGAAGACTTTTACTTTCCTAGTTGTATCCTTTTTCATTTTAGTGTCTTCATCAGAAAAAAAACATTGTCCGTAGCAGCCTGAACTTTTAGCGTGCATTTGGGGAGATTTCACAGGAACTGTTTTTTGCAGCTCATTACTTGGGATAATGTTCCTAACCACACTGTCAGAGAGATCTCTTTAAAGCCTTTATATTCAAGTGGATCCTGTCCCTTATTTGTGTTAACTCTCTGTTGTTATGGCTGTTCAAAAAGACCCCAGGATATTTTGAGTTTGGCTATTTTTTAGTATCATACAAAGGCAAAACTATATTACTCAGTATATACAGTAAATAGATCTGTCAAGAAATCAGTGAAAATGGTTTAAATCCAATGGGCAATTAGTCATGATTAAAAATCTATTGGCACTGAATTTATTGTCACTCTGAAAACTCTTTTCTCCACCCTGATTCATTTGTCAAATTAATTTAACAATTACTATCCAAAGGATAAACAATTTAATGGTTTGGTGTTACTGGGAAAAATGAAGAATTAAGCTTGTTCGAAGTAGCCTATGACAGCAAAATTTACAACAACTCAGACAAACATAAAATCTATTTGCTTTGTATTACCCTTAATATGTTTTGGTTTTAGAGCATAAGCTCTAAAGAGGAGAGGTGTTTTCCATTCTGAAGAGAACTGAGTAGAGTGGAAGAGTGCTGTCTGTGGCAAGTGAAATTAAAAATATTGCTGTTTTGCCTTGTGACTCATCTTTCCGATGTAAATCAGTTACTAAGAAAGTCTGATTCTGAAGTGATGGCTTTTTTTGCAGAGCAAGTTCTTCTAGATCAGAATGTTCAGACTCCCCCTCCAAGCCCCTTTTCAATACAAGGTTTCAGTAAGGGGACGAGCTGTACTAATGGACAAGGGTTTGACTATGGCCTTGGAAATAACAAAGGTACGTTATTACACTCAAACATTTTATAAAATAATGTTTTTCTTAATTTTGCTTATGTTTTTGTTACTCATTTCCCACTATTCTGTTGTATACTGATGGCATTTGAGTCATCATCAGATGTGCTCCAAAGGATAAAGCCAGTAGCACAATGAACTACATGATATTTTACATGTAGTTAGTAAAGTTGCAATTGCTTTTTTCTCTGCCTTATACAGAATATACAAAATATATCAGGCGAAATTAAAAGAGATTGATAAATATCTGTATCTTATAGCTAAGGCTCTCTGCAGTCTTGGATACATAATTATAATGCAGAAATTAAAAATACACATTTTTAAAAAGAGGTAAATGTCAGAATTAGAAAATACTGGTTTAAAGAAAGATCAGAAAGATATATAGCATTTCTTCTCTATCTTACAATTTTAAGTGCTTTTAATTTGATGACAAGATAAAAGATGCTCATTGAAATTTAAGTTGTAAAACTAATTATGTTTAGCACTAGCTTTTCAACCACATAGATACCACTTAAAACTGCTGGGAAGTAAATATCTTATTCATTTTACTGTCAGAAAATAATTAAGCATGGTTTATTTCACTGTCACTATAAATATACTTAGGCCATCACAGTAAACTTAGACTGCATGCCTTTTGCTTGTTCACTGAGTAGATCTAGAAGATACAGGGACTTTTGCCGAGATGTCCTTGAGAAATATTGCTGAAACATGGAGCTTTGTTTTTCTGCTCTTACGTATCTATACTTTGCTTATGATACTATGAGTGTGGACCTTAGGGGTTCTGTGTATTTTTAATGCCAAGACACACTTAGGTCATTTGCTGAATAAAATGACAATTAATTTAAGATTGTTTAAAGGCAGGAAGATGAAGGGAAGGGCTGTTGACATACTCCCAAATTATGATATTTTTTGCGGATGAAGAACTCAGCTAAAGGGGTTTACTTACTCTATGTAGCTGTCATTGCTTCTCAGTTCCTCAAGAGTGGAGAGTTATTGTCAACTGTATGAGGAAGAGTAGAAATACCATTTTCCCCAGAATAGAATTCTCTTTTTTGTCTCTTTAGTGTATATATGCCACCTTCTGTCTGCATTCTCAGGCCCAAGAAGCTTTGAACTTTGAGTATAGAAAGAACCAAAGGCGCAAGCACTGTCTGTTAGGAAAATTTTTGAATTAAGCATTTCTTTTGAAGATGCCTGTTTGTCAGAATTCCTCTTGTAGGAATGCACCAGTTTCAATGAAAATTTAGTAAACGTATACGTTTATATAAACTGGAACAATTCCAGCAAGTAAAAAGGACTTCTCTGTATCTGTACTGCATTATACATGATACCATTTTGGAGCATTTTATAGTTTGAGAGAGGGTCTGCTTGGACTCGCCATCATGAGCTTTGCAGATATTCCAGGGTTACTTTGTAGAGACTTCTGAGAACAGGTAGTATCAAACTATTAGAACCAGTTACAGGTAACTAGCCTGTCTCTACTGCAGTTCTTGAAGTACCCTTTTAGAAAGAAGCGGAGTAAGGTTTAATTTGATCTTCCAAGACATTAAACATTTGAACAGTTGTCATTCTTTGTCCAGAGAAAGTGATTGGCTACAATAATAGATTATCTCTACTGATTTCTAAAAATAAATAACTAGGTAACAGGAATCATATTGTATTGTGAATCCACAAATGCTAGAAGGAAACATTTTCCCTATTTGTATTTAAGTAATATACTGGTTAATCTAGTCTTCATCTTGCTGGAAGTCACTTGCTAGTCTTGGGATATTATCCTAAGTCACAAGGCTACGGCAGAAGCTCCTGGGCCTGGGCACCAGGACAGATATAGAAGGAACTGTCTTCTGACTGCTGGGCCTGGTACCCTCCTGTAAAAAACATTACCCCCTCCTCCTGCACTCTGCGGGCACGCGGGGCCATTGCTGGTTATACTGCTTTTGTATAGGCACAGTTGGTGATGTTCAGCTGTTTTAGTTGCTCTTCTAATGTCCCCTCTCCCTGCTCTCAGAAAACAGTAGGAAGCACAGAAGACTGATTAAAGTCATTTCATGATTTTGCAACCCCTGAACATCTTTGTGCTTACGTACAGTGAGCATCTGCATTGATTAGTTATTCTAGAAGGAAGTAGAACATTAATTGATTTTTTTAAAATAATCAATGATAGCCAAAAATTTCATAGAAATCATTTTGGGGCTTGGTAATGATCTATAAAAGCAATCTTTTTTTGCTTTTGTAGATACTAAATTTATAACTGGTCTGAGAGCAATTTGCATATTTAGTCGTATTGCTGATTGATGATTGTTTTTAAATCGGATAAAGAGGCAGTAGTTTTATAAAAGTTTAAAACACAAAATCTTGTATAGTGAGTGCTATATGTGGGACAAAGGCATGCCTGGGATAAATAAACTCATAGAGAAACAGGTGGTGGATAATAAAACCTGTCATACAGGGTATTGTCAGGTATGTAGTGCAGGTTGGCCAGCAGCATGGAACTGGATTAGCTGTTGAGCTTTTTAGTGCTAGGTCAGCATCTGCTCTCCCTCGTTCAGCCTGACTCCTTCAGCTCTAGCAACCGAGGACCTCCCTGTGCTGCGCGGCGCTGCGTTGTGTCTGCAAGGAAGGGCTTTCCACAGCGGTGCAGGCCCGGGGGAGCTCTGGGCTGCCAGGTCTGTTTTCACGGCACGACGC